ACTTAGCCCCGCACACAGAACTTGAAGTAGTGTGTACGTTCTGTGTCCTCGCTTTCGTCGAATTGATTCTTCTTTGGCGGTCTCTAACACTCCATACAAATTGCAGACCTTCTCCGAGGAAACAAGCCGGATTCGCAACCGGGCGCAATCTCTGATTCGTGACTTGCATACTCCCGTGGTGCGCCGTGCACGTAGCTGCACTCCCTTCCCAGTCACTGGGTAAGTATAGTCCCCTAAAAACTAATGTGAAACCTCTGGTGGACCTTAAACTTAAGTACCCAAAATAGCTACAAAGCTCTCAAATGAATCCAAGTATATATTTTTATAAATATATTTATTAGGCCATCTTGGCAAAGATTTTTAGATTTCAAGCAAGACCTTGGCATAGAACATAATTGCATTCGTTCCACACGTCGTATGCGTAATTTTTGCGTTGACATTACGCATACGACATGTTTGACAATTTATGAAATTTAATTAGCTAAAAATACTAATTGGATAGCCCTTTCTTTAGGGTTAAGAAAATATCATTGATATACAACTTAATGAATAAAGACCAATATCTTTTCAACTTTTTTATAAAATAAAGACAAAAAAAAGACAACTCTAAATTAAATACTAAATTCCAAAATAATGTTTTTTAGTTACACCTATGAACCGACTTCGCAACTCGCCCTAGACGCCTATGTGGCCCGGGTCACAAATCCTGTTCGTCATATTGCCAAGGAAGTTCACAATATTTCGCACTACCCCAGGCCAGCTGTTAAATATGTTGGTAAGTTGAATTTCGATGTGGTGCAACACTTATGCACTATGTATTCAGTTCACAACTGTGGTTAGATATCTTATTGTATAGCTCTGTAAATGGTTATTAAATTCCATTTTTTAAATAATTAAATAACAAAAGGTAAAAGTCATCTTGCATCAGTAAGGATTTGCGGTGACAAGGCCTATAATGTTAGAAGTCCATTGTACGATTCGGACAAAGTTCGAAATGATATTAACCTCTTGTCCTGGTACCTTAGACACCCGACTTGGAAGAGTGATAAGAAATCCAATGTTCCTGTGAAGGAAGGTAAGTACCGTTGATTTTGTTACATTACGCTTGAATATGACACCTGTATATATCACTCAAGCATAAGTGTAATAGATGTTGGCGCCAAACGATTACCATTCATTAAAAGTTGCCTATTTAGGATTATTGCGTTTTTTTCTTTAAAAATTTGTTTTTCGGAAATACCGTTGCCGTGTCAAAAAAATACTTTTCCATAATTTAAATGGTTTAAACAAATAAAGCTAAGATAAAACACTTTTCATACAATAAAATCAAGCAAAGAATAATTTTCATTCTTCATTACACTCCAAAAATTCCAATTTGTAATTCATTTTTAAAACAATATAAAGCACCTACGGCTTGGATTAAAAATAGTATTATTTCAATTCGTGGCTTGTATTCTACGTACTTCAATTGTCCAAAACGTTTAGAAATTTCTTTCAACTTTAAATATAATTACTAGTAACGTGAAAATATTTCTTTTTTACAACGTTAAGATAGCTTGTAATACGGTTCTACAGAATCTAAATTAGTTTATTCATTTGTAACTAACTTACATATTTGGTTGCTGCATCCTGAATTGTTCAGTTCATTGTATTTCACTAACGTTATACGTTTTATGATTGATTGATTCTTTCCAGTTGAAGCTGTTGAAGTTGAGGCCTAAATGATAACATGCCTGATTTTTGTATGGACATACACTTCTCTTTCTTAAATAAACCAATCTAAAAGACTTTCTTTTGCGTGGTAGACAATTAGCCGATATCTACAAGATGAACAATTGATATCGACACACTCTGGCGCTTTCACTACTCAGACTAATATTTACACAAGTCAGATCAGAACAGCTTAAAAGATCGAAAAAAAATAAAAATAATTCAATTCAGCGCATCACTTGTGATACTAACATTTTTCATGTGACTCACCAAAATGTAGATACTTATTCATTCTCTTTCAATTTGTTGTAACTTAAGTAAAAGCTGACGATTAAATTATATACTTTCATGATCACTGATTACGAATTAATAAATACTTCATGTGCATAATTTTTGGCATTTAAGATATGGACGTCAGCGCAAATTTTGTTAACCATTGTTATGTTCATGCGTATGTAAACACATTTAGGGATATTTACTTACAAATATGTATCAATATATTAATTTGTAAATACTGATCTAAACTCAAATCTTTATTTATGGGCTCGAAAGGTGTTCTTCCTTCGAAAAGGGTTTTAAAAGTAAAGAAATCGTTTAAAAAAATCTATAAAACAGGAGTATTTTCTTTGCTTGCCTGACAAGTTGACAACATTTTTGTATATAAATGACGACTAATGGATTGATGCAGAAATATTAAATTAAAAGTGAATACCTCAAGAATGACACAAATATACACAATCCAACACGTCGAGACCTCAGCTTACTTTATGTACTCTTTTGCATTTTGAGATGTATATATGTATGTATGCTTAACCCATTAACCACATTTTGGTTTAATTCTTCACACCCGGAACTTTTTAAAAATTCCCATTAATGCCACACAATACTCTAAACTATTGGCGTCTACTGTATCTGCAATTTTCCTTGCCTCGTCTATAAGCAACCCAACAACCGCCGATCCGAATAGTAAGTACTAGCAGTAAAAGATAATGTAATTGATATAACCGAGTGAACGCAATAAAGTAAAGGATATTTAATGTGAAATCCAAAAGTAAAATAGAAATTCATACGCACTGTGGTAAGGGTTCTTCTGACAAGCTCAACATTTCAGATGCCGAGTTGGATCCTAACCGTCCATCTAGAAAATTTTCTGCCCCTAGGCCCCTGGAGGACCCACTCGACGTGGAGGCCAAGGAGAAGCAGCGTCTTCGCCAGGAGCGCCTTCTAACGGTCAACGAGGAGGCTCTCGACGAAGTGGACTTGGAGAAGAAGCGTGCCCAGAAAGCCGATGAAGCTAAGCGTAGGGAGGAGAGGTGGGTTAAGCAAAGTCTATAGTATTAATTAGAGCCCTGCACAAGTAACCTGACTCGTTTGTCAAACCTTACATCCAACCGACTTACTTGAAACCCATTTGACTTGGGTCGTTCGGGTTTGGGTATTTGGGTAAGTGAGTCAATTTTTACCCAAACCCAAACGACCCAAGTCAAATGGGTTTCAAGTAGATCGGTTCAGGTTTAAGGTTACCCAAAGAAAAAAAATTGATTTTTAAATAAGACGATGATTACAATTTTCACTGCTCATCGACCAGTCGCGAATTCTTAAGGTCAAGATGGTTATTTGTGTATAATATTTAAAATTAAGGGATACGATAAATCGACATTTGTTTCCACTTCTTCCGCCCAAGCGATTTCTTGCTCTAAAGAATTCGCGGTTTTTGAAAAATCGATAAGGAATATATCACTAGGTTTCTTTATTTAAGTTATGTATGATCCACACAAATAAGTCCTCTTGTTCCTATGAATTCGCGGTAATCGATAACGAATATATCATTAGTATTAATAATATTAAAACTTATTTTCTGAATAATTTTAAAGGGCCCTAAAGGAGGAGAGGGAGCGCCTGGCAGCTGAGGCCGAGAAACAGGCTGCTGCCAAGGCGAAGAAGGCTGCCGAGGAGGCCGCCCAAATCGCTGCCGAAGAGGCTCTTCTGGCCGAAGCTGCCGCCCAAAAGGCTGCAGAAGAATCTGTCAAAAAGGCCGCCGAAGAGGCCGCACTTAAAGCTGCCGAAGAAGCCCGTCTAGCCGAAGAAGCTGCCGCCCAGAAGGCCGCCGAGGAAGCTGCCCAGAAAGCCGCCGAGGAAGCCCGTCTAGCAGAAGAGGCCGCCGCCCAGAAGGCCGCCGAGGAAGCTGCCCAGAAGGCCGCCGAAGAAGCTGCCGCCAAGGCCGCCGAAGAAGCTCGCCTGGCCGAAGAAGCCGCCCAAAAGGCCGCCGAAGAGGCCGCCCTGAAGGCTGTTGAAGAAGCGGCCCAGAAGGCCGCCGAGGAGGCCCGTGCCGCCGAAGAGGCTCGTCTGGAGGAGGAGCAGCGCCAGCGGGAGCAGGAGCTGGAGCGCCTGGCGGAGATCGAGAAGGAGAGTGAGGGCGAACTTGCTCGCCAGGCCGCCGAGCTGGCCGAGATCGCCCGCCAGGAGTCCGAGCTCGCCGCCCAGGAGCTGCAGGCCATCCAGAAGACCGAAAACGAGGTGGAGGCCGAGGCCACCGAGCCTCTGGTCGAGGAACCCGTCACGCCCATCGAGGAAAAGGAACCGGTCATCGAGCTAGGCTCCAATGTTACCCCCACTGGTGGCAACAGCTACGAAGAGGAACTCGATGACGAGGAGGAGGAGGAGGAGTCCGAGGAGGAGGAATAGATTCTACACAATCATCATGCTGTCAACCTAATTTAAAAGAAACAATAAAATAATATAAAACCATCTTAAAGGGGTCAAGGGGGGAAATGAAAATATTATTCTTGGAAAGCCTTCAAAAAGAGATGAGAGACCTTTATAGCAGAATAGTATACTTCTTTAACTTAGTAACTTAGTAGTATTAATTTGGTTCAATAATTCATAATCAAGAACCAATCCATTATTATGAAAGTTATTAAGAAATCATTATCATTAATTACTTGCACTTAGCGCTATCCATTATCCAATTATATTCTGCTAGTTAAAGCACTTAACTATACTGCAAAATGTTTTTGTAACTTTTTCTTCAGCTTTTAAATTTTTCGCGCGTCTGGCTTTAAAATGAAGTTGGCTGCGATTCGCTTTCCGATAGCAATATTGTTACTATCGATATCTATCGAAAAGCGCCGATTAATTAAAAATTAAAATCGGAGTTTGTTTATTCTTAATTTTTATTAGTGAGTAATTTGTATAAAAAATGTCAAATTTATAAAATAAAAAACTTTTTTTTTTTTTTTTTACTAATTTCACGAAAAAAATATTTATTTTTAAAAAATAGCCATAGTTCTGCTCATCCCTAACAAAACGGTACCAAGTGGCTATTTCACCTTCGAAGTCAAACCAAACAAAATGTCAAAGGACGAAAAGGACAAGACGCAGATCATCGACAAGGACCTGGACCTGTCGAACGCCGGACGCGGCGTTTGGCTGGTGAAGGTGCCGAAGTACATTGCCCAGAAGTGGGAGAAAGCGCCGACGAACATGGACGTGGGCAAGCTGCGGATCAACAAGACGCCCGGTCAGAAGGCGCAGGTCTCGCTCTCCCTCACGCCCGCCGTTTTGGCCCTGGATCCCGATGAGAAGATACCCACGGAGCACGTCCTGGACGTGTCGCAGGTGACCAAGCAAACGCTCGGCGTATTCTCGCACATGGCTCCCTCCGATGGCAAGGAGAACTCGACGACGCCGGCGGCGCAGCCGGACAACGAGAAGCTCTACATGGAGGGCAGGATTGTCCAGAAGCTGGAGTGCCGCCCCATTGCCGACACTTGTTACATGAAGCTCAAGCTGGAGTCCATTCGCAAGGCGTCGGAGCCACAGCGCCGGGTGCAGCCCATCGACAAGATTGTCCAGAACTTCAAGCCCGTCAAGGATCATGCACACAATGTAAGTTCGAACATCGGTTCTATATCCTCTATATCTATTAACCTTTCAATCTCCGCAGATCGAATATCGGGAGCGCAAGAAGGCCGAGGGCAAGAAGGCGCGCGACGACAAGAACGCCGTCATGGACATGCTCTTCCACGCCTTCGAAAAGCACCAGTACTATAATATCAAGGATCTGGTCAAGATCACCAACCAGCCCATCAGCTATCTGAAGGAGATTCTCAAGGATGTCTGCGATTACAACATGAAGAATCCGCACAAGAACATGTGGGAGCTCAAGAAGGAGTATCGCCACTACAAGACTGAGGAGAAAAAGGAGGAGGAGCACAAATCCGGCAGCAGCGATTCGGAATAGCAGTAGCAATTTTAATTTCATTAAAACATATTTAAGTGATTGCATGATTTCGTTTTATTTCTTAAGAACTACGCGTATACTATGGACTATGAAAAAAACATTATTTGTAAATAGACATTTGCTTGCCGTTTGGTAAATACATACATATATATACACTATATTCTAGGCGACATTTTGCACACGGGTTGATATCATATATATATATATGTGACTCTTTCCTTATGTCCGAAGAAAACTAATTTTTATACTTTTGTACAGTAAGAGATCAGGTACTTGATATTAGTAATATCAGCTCATGAAGATTTCCAAAACACTTACTGCGTCAATCAAAATGTAATTAAACTAAAATTTAAAAAAATCATAAAGGAAAAAAAATATACTTGAAAAAAATTATAGGTGAAGAAAAAAAATTCAAAGGAAACATAAATGAATAAAAATATAAGAATTTCAAAAGCAAAAGTAAAAAATAAGCACATCAATGAACTGAAAAATGAGGAAGTTTAACTAAAAGGCGGCATCAGCTTATTCATGTTTGAGGAAATCGAGCTTAGATAATACTGGATTACTATTCTAAAAATATTGCGTCACTTTTAAACATAAAATAAAGAGATACTACTGCTATCCTGCCTAAAGTACGAAGCTTAAACATACATTTGTACAGAGTTATTTTCTACCTTAAACAAAATTGTTGTTAATCATAATTAAAGGATATCTTATTGCAAGCCTGTTGAAACTAGGAGGCTGAAAGTTAAATTTGTAAATATTAGTGACAAAAAATCTGGCAAGTCTTAAATTTAGGGCAGCCTCTTGATCTTGTTGTACTGCTGGGTATTGTGAATTGATCGCTGGGCCTGAAAGTAATATAATATAATGGTTTACACACACAATTCGAATGAGGGGCACACAAACTGGATACTACAACTGGACGAGAATAATCTACAACTAGTTTACACATTTAGGACAGGCCACACACTACTAATTTAACCGAGGTGCCGATGCCAATGACGATCGCATCGAAGATATCCCCGAGTCGGCATCGGAAGGAGACTGCCTCATCTTTGGGATGGGCTGAATCAAACGAACAGTTTTTGCAAACACCTCGGGAGATGCCATTTCCGTGGACTTTCGTTTTTTATTTATCGGCGGCGCCTTGCTCGGCCCGGCCTTCATATCGTCATCCGTAGGACGGTTTTTAATAGGATCCGTAGCCGGTTTGCTCTTAGTTGCATTCATGTTGCCCACATCATCCTCGGGATGGATTTCCACTCGCCGCATACTCTTCAGTTGCATTTGAAGCTGAGAAGGGACGATGGGCTTACTTTTATCGCGATCTCCAGGGCTCAAGGACACGTTTCCGTGATTCGTCTGGAAAATAGCCATGTAATTATTACAGGATTTGTTCCTAAATGATAAATGCTTACCAGTACTAGTGAGGCCAGAAAGTAGCGACACACGATACTTGGATCCTTCTCAGCCATGACGTCAGCTAAAGTGGCTGTTCCATCGAGCGCCTGACAAACGTCCAAGATCTCAGTGCCCAGGTCCTTAATGTTGAAATTCTGCCGTCCATGAGCTGCCTCCAAACCTGGGGCCATTCGTCTATGCCAGTCTCGAATCTATGCGAATTACTTTAGAATTTTCTTATATCAACTAACACTAAATATATTTACCATAGAGCTGGAATCGGGGCCACTGAAGGTATTACTATCCAATGGCGATTCGGATCTTATTGACTCATTGCAGTCCCCAACTGCTTCATCTTGGATCCCATCATCTGGGGCTGCTGATGTTTCACCTGGTAACGAGACTTCCAATATTGACTGGTCCAGCTGAGTGGTATCTAAGGCACCAACATCCACTGCATTTGACTCAGTGGTGGCGTCCAATTCAGAACTTCTTATCGGTTCCACTTCGCCCTCTATTCCGGGATTAGTTTCTGATTTTTCCGTCACTTCAAGTTGCGAGGAATCCGCACTCGCGTTCACTGTCGTGGGTTCACTAGTCTCGTTTAGTTCGGACACTATCGACTCTCCCAATCCACTTTCCATTCTGATGTTCACAGTCTCTTCTAAAGCCTCGGCTGCAGTAACGTTAATTGCCTTGTTCGCTTGGTTTTCACCAAGGTCTTCCAGCTCAACTTTAACGTCTCCGATGGTCGAAATAGTAACTGAACCGGCTCGCATCTCCTCAAAATCAAAACCAGAGTCAAATGTGGGTCGGCGTTGACGGAATCCCAGGAAATCTATTTGAAATACAATAATTAGTTAAGCAAAGTGAAAAAGTGTCGCAAGGAAAGCCACATACTGAAATCCTCGTCAAACTCTAAGCTTGTGGGAGAGCCGGGAATTACTTCCTTTGGTTGGGGAGTTTCTTTTTCTATCCGCAAAGTCGGAACTCTGGCAGCAGCTGGAGGTTTTGGCGGAGCTTCTCGCCTAGCAGGAAGACGCTGGAAGATTTTACAATTATAAGTTTTGATCGGATGCAAGTAAATTTATGACTCACCGCTTGTTTAAACAAGTCAAACTCTGCGGGAAGTTTAAAGAAACATTTACGACGCAATCCTTTTTGCGGGAGCCCCAAAAAATTGAGCACAATGGGATAGCAGACCTCCCTTGGAACATTCACCGCAACATCGACATCCATCTCAATAACCTCCACCGTTTTCGCTTCCACGACTTGCGATTCGATCATCAGCTCTGTCGGCTGGCGCTGATCTTCTAAATCTGAAAGAACAACACCCTCATCGTCAAAAGACTGGCCTGCCGTGACAAATGCAATGAACGGATGCAAGTGCGGGATCAAGGGCCAAAACAAAAAAAGCAAAGAGAAACAAAAATGTGAGTATTTTCAAAATAAAATAAAACAGAAGATTAAAAAAACACTTATCCTTAGTACGCTTGGCGGGCGTTGGATTGCCATTGGTTTACCTGTATGCAGGTGGAAATCGGAAACCTCTTCCATACCGATCCCGGAATCGATTTGCAACAGCTCCTCGAGAGAGGCATCTTTAGCGGCGGGCGGTAAGTCGAGTCTCGTGCTGTCCAGGCCACTGGACTCGTCGATGGCCAACGTGCTGCTCAGCGGTGGATTCTCTGCTTGGCTGACGCTTAAGGAGGAGTCTTGTACTTGACTTTCGCTTAAAGCGGTGGAATTCTCCACCTGGCTGGCGTCCAGCGTGGAATTGATGGTGTTGTTCTCCTGACTTGCGTTAATCGTTTCGCCCAGACCCGAATCCACTGATATTTGGTTTTGCAAACCATCGCCTGTGGCCAGTGATTGATCGTTTTCCTCCATCGTCGGCTGATCCAAGTCCATTGCTTCGGGAAGCGGCACTTCCTCCGTTTCCATGGGCTGAGTCACATCCAGTCGCACCTTTTTAGCCAGCTCCGTTTCTGTAATGTCCTCCAGCGTTCTCTTCGCCAATTCGTCCATTTTTCTTCTCGTCCTCACGGTGGCTCCGTAGCGAGCGGCCAGCATTTGATTTTCCAGCGCAATGTACTCGTCCAGGTAATCCTTGGTGGTCATGTGCTCGTTGAGAATCTCCGCCGTGTTTACCTGGTTCGTATGCACATATTCCTTGATCAGATTCAACCGCTCGAAGGGAATATCCGGCAGCAGGGTGTTATATCGATGCTCCACATGATACGTAAACATTTTGTACTGCTTCTTCTCGTCCTGGTCGTAGGGATTGTGGGGATCCACAATGGGGGCGTGTCTCCACAGATTGGGCGGCGTGTGATCCTGATACAGGTACTCTATCGTCCGGTTCCTCGTGCACTTCACAAAGCCCGTCAAGTTGAAACGTTTCTCGTCCGACATGGTCTTGAATTTTCGAGGTTCTACGGTGAGCAAATAGGGATCTACTTCCTTTTTGGTCAGCTTCTTGGCTCGACGTTTGCGCGGCTCCTCCGGCTTGGGGGCATTGTTTTCCGGTCTGTAAATTAAACAAAAAGAAATATTATTATTATGATGATCACAAATTACAAGTAGTCGAAAGAAAAACGTCATAAAAATATATATCTATTATTATTTTGGCTGCTATTAGCTTCAATCAAATGAGTATAATTACTTAAGAAGTCAAAAATGATAAGATTACAATATTTAAGTCAAGTAATCTGCTAATATTTTTGGCTAAGTTTTTATTATTATTTTTTTGGCTTTCAATAAAATGAATAAAATTACCTAAGAAGTCAGAAATGATAAGATTACAATATTTAGGTCAAGTAATCTTCTCATATTTTTGACTAAGCTTTTTAGCCGTGCTGATAATGCTTTCTATTTTGTCAAAATAATTATATTTTTGATCATATCTATACATAGTAAGTACAGGTGTTTAATTTTATGAATGATCTAATGCGGTAACCTCTCTTTTTGGCTGTCTCATTACTCATTTTCTTGAGTACTCCGTTTCTTATTTACTTTAGAGAGCCCAAAAACGTGTTTTTTTTGCGATTCATTAACATGTGATTATACAGGAAGAGAAGCCGGCTTGAGTGATATTAACGTAAACAAAGCCGAAGATGGGGGCGTAACGGAAAGCTCGATAAGCGGTATTCGGGGCTGATAAGACTCGATCACCGGACAGACATAATGGCGTCAGTATCGAAGCACATGGCTCTATCGTTCCCTTTCTGCCTTCAACTCACCCACTGCTTCCGCTGGGCGTCTCCTTCTGCGGCTCAGAACTGAGCAGCGCTTCGATCTGGTGCTCCACCACCTGGTACATGTACTCCACGCGGTCTCCGTAGATCTTGCCGCAGTATTGGAGGGCACTTCCCGCGGCCACGATGGCCGATCGCCGGGAGACATGATTGCTTCCTAGGCAGTGACGCAGTAGCTCCTCTATGTACTGTAAAAAATATAGGATTAGTTATAGGGTGTAAAGAAAAATATAAATTTATAGGAATTATGTGTGTTTTTTTTCCATTTTCTAATAGTTTTACTAAAAGAGATATGAATTTTAATGGCGAACATAATGATAAATGATATTATGTATAACAATTATTTTATATTTAAAAAAAAATTTTTTTTTTCTTCATTGAGTGTAATTGAATTTTTTATCGATTACTTTAACTGTAATTTGAGTCTATTTAGAAAGTGGTTTTACTACATAGATTTTCCCAACTAGGGAATTCAACTTTAGTTTAAATTTTGGTACTATAACACTTACATATCCCAAAGATATCCGCAGGTCCGTCGAGTAGTCGGTGTTCTTGGAGAGTTCCTCGAGCAGAAGGATTAGCGAGGTGAGGTCCAGTTGCTCGTCGTAGGCGAGAATGCACTTGGCCACCTGGGTTCCAGGTCGATTCCGGGCTATTTCCAAGATCTGTTTCCGAGCTTCGCTGAAGGAGGCTTCAAGTTAAGGGGAAAAAAAGAGTTTGGTTAAACAAAAACAACACACCCAATCGCATTTTCGCCGTTTTGTTTATTTCTGCCTCCCCACACACACACACACAGGTGCACCAATACACGCGGTACACTGGAAATAGCGCTGACTTAATCAATCGGAGATCGACGCCTGGGGCTCCGCAGATTTCGATGGCGTCACGTAACCCCCGATGCTTACCAGCTTCTTCCGGGGACGGCCGCTCCATGGTTCATTAGTCGAAACTGCGAAAAGTCTTTCTCAACTTGGGTTTCGCACTTCTTACAGGCATTCTGAGGAGCACTTTGCACAAACACTGCAAACACACGCACACGAACACAAACAAAACGCACACGAGGTGTGGGAGAAAACAAAATGGTGGAGGCGTAGGCACGCCGCTGTTTGCACAATGATCCCACTATTGGGTTTGTCCCCAACTTGCTCCTATTATTATTATTATGCTTTTGTTTCCTGACTGGGAATTGGCGCGAATCGGTGCAGGAACAATTTCCTATTCACCCCGAGATATATGTACTTCTTATTTTGTTTTGCTCTCCGAGCGAGTAACGAATGAGAGAAGAGGCGAAATAAAAGTGTAAAGGGCAATGCTGTTGGCCAAGTTGCAGGCGTGGTCACCCTAATTTATCGATTGCCTCCGCGATATATATATATCGTTCGGTATTTTTCAGCACGATGAATACTAAAGGGGGATTCCCTAAACTGTTGAATTGCTGAATTGTTGAATTTTGGTCAGCTGTTAATCAGCTGTTCCATACAAAGTCAACTTTCAGAAATTTCAGCAATTCAACAGCCTCGGGGCTGTTGAAAATTTTGTTGAATTGCTGAAAAGCCAGAGTTGTCACCTTTTTTTAAAAGTCGTGGCAACTCTGCAACATTTTAGTATCACCAGTACGCATTATTTATTTTAAAATCAACTTAGAAAGCATATTTGTGGTTCTTTTTACCTTGGTAACACTTTTAGACAGTAACTAGCAATAATAAATCAAATTTTACATGCTTTAAGTTCCGTGAAATTTTTCAACAAATAACAGCTGTTTGAAAATTCAACAGGAACCATTTTGGGTCGTTCCCTTAATTGCTGAAATTTTTTGTTGAATTTTCAACAATTCAGCAGGGGGATTCCCTAAACTGTTGAATTGCTGAATTGTTGAATTTTGGTCAGCTGTTAATCAGCTGTTCCATACAAAGTCAACTTTCAGAAATTTCAGCAATTCAACAGCCTCGGGGCTGTTGAAAATTTTGTTGAATTGCTGAAAAGCCAGAGTTGTCACCTTTTTTTAAAAGTCGTGGCAACTCTGCAACATTTTAGTATCACCAGTACGCATTATTTATTTTAAAATCAACTTAGAAAGCATATTTGTGGTTCTTTTTACCTTGGTAACACTTTTAGACAGTAACTAGCAATAATAAATCAAATTTTACATGCTTTAAGTTCCGTGAAATTTTTCAACAAATAACAGCTGTTTGAAAATTCAACAGGAACCATTTTGGGTCGTTCCCTTAGGGGGATTCCCTAAACTGTTGAATTGCTGAATTGTTGAATTTTGGTCAGCTGTTAATCAGCTGTTCCATACAAAGTCAAGTTTCAGAAATTTCAGCAATTCAACAGCCTCGGGGCTGATGAAAATTTTGTTGAATTGCTGAAAAGCCAGAGTTGTCACCTTTTTTTAAAAGTCGTGGCAACCCTGTAACATTTTAGTATCACCAGTACGTATTATTTGTTTTAAAATCAACTTAGAAACCATATTTGTGGTTCTTTTTACCTTTATAACACTTTTAGATAGTAACTAGCAATAATAAATCAAATTTTACATGCTTTAAGTTCCGTGAAATTTTTCAACAAATAACAGCTGTTTGAAAATTCAACAGGAACCATTTTGGGTCGTTCCCTTAATTGCTGAAATTTTTTGTTGAATTTTCAACAATTCAGCAATTCAACAGTTTAGGGAATCCCCCTCTTAATTGCTGAAATTTTTTGATGAATTTTCAACAATTCAGCAATTCAACAGTTTAGGGAATCCCCCTAGCAATTCAACAGTTTAGGGAATCCCCCTTAAGTGTTTACTACCTTGTTATTATTAATAATTTAATAATAATATTATTAATAATAATAATATAATTATATTTTATATATATAATAATATAATTATATTAATAATATTATTAATAATTTAATAGTTTTATGTATTTATTTAATAATAAAATATGTTAGCATTGTGTCTTTACTTAGTATGGACGTATGTAATAAAAAAATTTAATAATGTAAAGTTCTTCACATAAAACAATTTTTTGTGATTCGATGGGAATAACTTTTACTTTTGTTGCTGTCTATAAACTATAAAACAACAAAATTCAATAGTACCCAGGGGAAGTTGCATTTCTGTATAATTTGGTATTTTTACTCACTATCGATAGTGTCATCACTATCGTGCGTGATTTAGACAGTTCCACAAGTGTCATCACTTCTTCAAAACAATTTATTTCTGCAGTGTATTGTATTGCAAATTGTTTATATGGAGATGTCCAACCAGGAGACGCAGGTTTCCAGCCTGCCCATGCCGCCGGAGCGGTACATCGCCAACTACACGGAGGAGAACATCCGCCGGAACCGGGCACCACGCCCACCGCCGCCCCCGTCGCAGCACGAAGTCTACAGCATGTTTGGCATCCAGTACAACAACGACGAAATGATCCGGAGTCTCGAGTCCCAAAATATCAAGCGGCTAATCCCCATCCACTTCGACCGGCGCAAGGAGCTGAAGAAGCTCAACCACTCGCTGCTGGTCAACTTTCTGGACCTCATCGACTTCCTCATCCTGAATCCAGACAGTCCAAGGCGCACGGAGAAGGTGAGAACTCATTTAAGTCGGTAAAGAGCCTTACAAAATTAAACTGTAATCTTTATTCCAGATTGACGATCTTAGCCTGCTGTTCGTGAACATGCATCACCTGCTCAACGAGTTTCGGCCCCATCAGGCGAGGGAAACGCTGCGCGTCATGATGGAAATGCAGAAAAGACAGCGCGTGGAGACCGCCACACGCTTTCAAAAGCACTTGGAACGGGTGCGCGAGATCGTGAACACTGCCTTCTCAGCTCTGCCCGTTCTGGGGGATGACGAGGAAAGCGGCGGGGCAAAGATTAAGACGGAGGTGGATCCCCTGGAGGCAAATGCAGCGGCCAAGAACGATCCCAGCTATCAGCACGATCGCATGTTGTGCAAGCTGGTGGACGCCATCGAATGAAAAGACTTCACATCGACATCGGAGTTTGTGTCAATCATTGTGAACGGCTTGGAAAAAAGAGCTCCTCATATTTATAAATGCTTTTAGTGTAAGGAATAAAACCCAAATTGTGTGATGAGAATCTTCCGCGACTTATGAGTAATTCATTCACTTGGCTCCAATTTGTTTAGTCATCTTAGAGATAAGTTTGACACAGATAAGATCACCCCTCTGTCGTGTGGCCCGAGATAAAAGGGAGACGTTTAAGCATCCACAAATTTCACCATTGAAATGACGTAGTCAATTTGGAGTGATAATCGAGTTTTACACTATATAAAACAAATAGCAATTGCTTAAAAAAACTTTCATTTAGATAAATGATTTCGCCTGGAAAAAGGATTTGCAATTCAAAATTATGCTGGGTTATTTTTATTGCCGATGAAAACGTGAACATCACACGTTTTTTGTTATTTAATGGTTGCTACCTCATGGTATAATCGTGGCTATCCCAAATATGATTGTACAATGTACAGTATAATCACCATTAATATGACTATAAAGTCACTAAAACCTGTTATCTTTTTATCCTAAAGAAATTGATATTGTATTTTAACCTACAAAAACACACTTAAATTATTTTTATTTAAATAAATAACAGTTTTATTTAATTTGAAACTCACTGTAACTAAAGCAACGTGTTTCTTCTGAATAAACATGGTTTTATAAGTTTATTAGCTTCCTTAGATTGTAAAGACCGCGATAAGAGAGCTGTAGTTGAGTGAATCTTCAGTTTTATTGAGGCAAACTCCGATAAAAGCAGGTGCCATTCCCTCTGGGAGATCATTTCTCGTGCAGCGTTGCAGCTGGCGGTCGAATTAGAATATACTGGAGACCCTTAACTCGGTGACTGTGAACTGAACTCTTTAAGGAATTTGTGCTTGCGCTTTTTAATCAACAACGACAGCGCATTAATTGAACAATCAATTTCAAGAGCAAGCCAATTGTGAAAAGATATAGTGATAAATAGTAATCGCTGCGATGTCGGAAAAGACTATTGAAAAAGTGGATCCTGAGAAAAGCAAAGGTAAAGGGCGTACTAGAAAAGCTTTTATAAAGTTCCGATAAAAAAATAACAAATAAAATCTTATCTGATAAGTGAATAAAAAAAGTAAATTACTAATGAGTCAAAATCTGCCAAGTGGGCCACCCCTGTTCCGAAGGTCCGATTTTCATCGAACTTTTTTACTTTTCCGGTTCACAACGAAAATATAAGAACTTCATTTGAACGGTTTTGCGAAATTTTGAGTTTTACCGGAGTTATAGGGGTCAAAACATGGCATTTTTGACACTTTTTCGAAAAAGTTGCACTCAGTCATTAATTCATAACTTCGGAACGGTATGAGATATCTTTATGATGTTTTCACTAATCGCTCAAGAATTATTATGGCTTTCCATAAAAAAATGTAAAAAAAAATCACAAAATTTTTTTCTTAAAAATAAATCAACATTTTTTTTTAGTTTTTATTTTTTTCAGTGTTCTTCACCAGCTATAGAGTTTAAAACCATTTGAAAATAAAGTTTGATTCATTACGAAAAAGATCCAAAAAAAAAAAAGAGTGGCCCGGACAAAGGTTTTTCGCAATATCGATTTGAAGAAGGGCGCACAGCGGTTTTCCATACAAAAACGGCTTGCTCGTGAAAATTGGCTGGTCAACACATGCCGTTGCGCGCGTAGCGTCAGCCGACTGCAGCTGTCAATGAGGCACTTTTTGTCGTTTTGTATGGGAATCCGCTGTGCGCCCTTCTTCAAATCGATATTGCGAAAAACCTTTGTCCGGGCCACTTTTTTTTTTTTGGATCTTTTTCGTAATGAATCAAACTTTATTTTCAAATGGTTTTAAACTCTATAGCTGGTGAAGAACACTGAAAAAATAAAAACTAAAAAAAATGTTGATTTATTTTTAAAAAAATAAATTTTAATTTTTTTTTACATTTTTTTATAGAAAGCCATAACAATTCTTGAGCGATTAGTGAAAACATCATAAAGATATCTCTTACCGTTCCAAAGTTATGAATTAATGACTGAGCGCAACTTTTTCGAAAAAGTGTCAAAAATGCCATGTTTTGACCCCTATAACTCCGGTAAAACTCAAAATTTCGCAAAACCGTTCAAATGAAGTTCTTATATTTTCGTTGTGAACCGGAAAAGTAAAAAAGTTCGATGAAAATCGGACCTTCGGAACAGGGGTGGCCCACTTGGCAGATTTTGACTCTAATGTGATGTAATGAAAAGCCATGGAGACTTTAAAGTCATATTTATCAAATTAAATATTTACACGGAATATTACAATATCAATAGTGAAATGTGTAATCCGTTATGGCTTTTGGATTAAAATTAAATGTGATTTTTAATCGGTAATCTGTGTTTTTGGTTAATTTTTTAACCCATAAATGACGTAAACACGTCTGGAAAGTTTTGCAAAGCTTTTCTAGTCAGATAAAAAAATAATCTCTTAAAATAAAACATTTTTTCACATTAGCAAATGATTAAAATATTTTTCTGTAACTTGGTTTATTGGATAATTTCCATTTGGATAAAATAATTGTATTTGGCTATTGAATAGTTCATGTGATAATTTCTTGTTATCGTTAACAGGGCTAGAAAATGAAAATGATGGGGATGGCAATTCAGATAGTACGGCGGAGGCGGCAGCCACGCCTACCGAAGAAGGTCCTGCCACTTTCGATAAGGCAATCGAGGGGGCCGGATTTGGGATCTTCAATCTGATGCTGCTCATCGTCTCCATTCCCGCCCAGAGTGCCGCCATTTTCGAGTCCAGCTCGATGTCCTACATCCTGCCAATTGCCGAGTGCGATCTTCGCCTGACCCTGGAGGACAAGGGTGTCCTGAATGCGGTGGCCTATGCGGGCATGACTATATCGGCTATAGCCTGGGGCTACCTGGCCGACACGAAAGGTCGCAAGAAGATCCTCTACTGGGGCTATTTGATTGATGCAGTGTGCGTTTTCGGCAGCGCATTGAGTCAGAATTTCTCGATGCTGGTGGTTTTCAAGTTCTTGGGTGGTTTGGTGTAAGTATTTTAGAATTTATTTTCCCTACTATTTTTTTTGTTAATTTATTTATTCTTAAAAGGGTTAATGGACCAGCTGCTGTGCTGTTTACCTACATAACGGAAATGCACGGACCCAAGCACAGATCTTCCGTTCTGATGATTATTGGCATGGTCACCTCCACGGCGACGGTTTCACTGCCTCTTCTCGCCTGGGGTATTTTTCCACGAGATTGGGACTTTGAGTTCTGGGGCCTGCAAAGTAAGTACTCTGTTTTATTAATCTGTATTAATTTTTAAAATAATTTTATTTTAGTCCACAGTTGGCAAATTTACCTGTTCGTTCTGGGCATCCCCAGTTTGGTCAGTGGTCTGATTTTCTGCTTCATGCCGGAGAGTCCTCGGTTCTTGATGGCTCAAGGACGAAACGAAGAAGCCATGCAGGCCTTCAAGCAGATCTACCGTGTCAACACACGCAAGCCAAAGGATAGCTATCCAGTGAGTAGTTAGATAATTTAAATTAATAGATTTAAAAATAGAAATAACTACATAAAAACTCTAAATTAATTTTAAAATATTTTTAAACATTTTTTATCTTTTTTTCCAGATTAAAGCCCTTATTCAGGAGGTTCCCAATCGTAAGGCCCTTGAAAACGAGGTTATCTACACCATCGAGGAGAAGTCCGGGGAGATTCCTCCAAAGCGTCAGTCCCGCACTTTGGCGGAGAGCCTGCGATCTGGACTGCAGCAGATGAAGCCGCTGTTCAGGAAGCCCCTGCTCGGCCTGTCCATCTGCTGCTACGTGATGCAGTTCGGCATCTTCCTCGGGATGAACACCATCCGGCTGTGGCTCCCACAGCTCTTCGCCTCCATGGCGGAGTTCGAGGCGCTCCATGACAGCGATGGATTGGATGCCAGCATGTGCACCATCCTCGAGTTCAGCGTGAATCGCACGGCGGAGACTGCCCTAAATTACGCCGACGCCTGTTCCGTGGTAGGTATCAGATAAAACTCGAAGATAAGCGAACTGAATCTGCAGATAATACAAGGTCTGGATCTCTAGATGGGGCTTATCTGGCAGCGCACTTAACGCCCCATCATCGTGATCGTGACGTGGTTATCTGGGCACACAAAATAAAAGATTACCATAATCGGTCATAATTGTGCGAGTTGTATACCCTTACAGAGAGTTTTATAATTATAAATTATAATGTAATATTATGTGATTTATTTTATCTATTCTTAAAAGAAAACTAGAAGGTTTATTTTTGTAGAGTTTATTAAGTTGCATTTCCATTATTCTTTAAATATAGTTTCTAAAGTATAATATACCTACTAATTAAAATTACTTATTTTAATTTTCCTTTTAGCCCAAGGTAATATCGATGGATATGTATCTGAACAACATAATTGTATCGGCCACTGGCTTTGTGGGTTACTTCTTTGCCGGAGGAATTATCCGTGCTCTGGGTCCCAAGCGTATGATGAGTGAGTTTGTCAAGACCTTTTTTATTTATTCCATGACTTAACCTAATGCTATTTTTCTAGCCTATGGACTATTTCTTTCGGGGACCTTTGGCCTCTTGCTTTACTTCTCCGTGAGCAGTTTAATGACACTTATAGTGGCAGCAACCTTCCTGACAATTACGGGAATTGCCGTCTCTTCGCTACTGGGAGCTGTGGTGGCCCTTTTTCCCACCCAGTTAAGGTGAGTTATATGATCTGTCGATTGAAAAAATATTAATCTAAAATGTATAACCCCCAGAACCGTTGTGGTTGCCATTGCCATGATGTGCGGACGTTTTGGCGCCCTGTCCGGAAACTTACTCTTCCCCGTCTTCGTTCAGATCGGCTGTTTGCCTCCATTTATAATGGTCTCCTCAGTGCTGATATGTAAGTTCAAGTTCATACAGACAATGCTCTTTATTTTAGTAACATTTATTTATTCTAATATTGCAGTTGCGGGAATTCTGTCAATATTCATGCCCAACCCAGCAAAGGCGACATTTTCTTAAGGGGATTCTAACCTTCCGTTTTCGTAATACTTGGTTGAAGGTTTCCAGTCTAAGAATGAATTTTAAATGACTTTGGTTTCATCCGAACCAGTTGCCCACTAACTTAAACCAGATCTTGCGACATTAGCTTAGCTTTTGTTTAGTTGTACAAATTAGAGATAACGAATTAACCGGATTGGAGGAGATAGGCGCTGAACAACTATTTATATTTACCTTAAGTAATCAAATTAAATATATCTTTATTGTTGTACGAATAACATTGTTCGGAGAACTCAGTTTTCCTTTTTCCTCCCTATAACCAAAAGGGGGTTGAATTATCTGCGGTCCCTCAAAGGATACGTCTAGTGGGCAAGGACAAAAGTCGTCGGAAACTGCGACATGCAAATCTCATTAACACAAATTAACTGTAACCGGCAGTGCTGAGGTGGTTGAGTGGGCAAGTGGGTGGGTTGTTGGTTGGTTGAGTTGGCAGGTGAGTGATCGGCTACAGATAACATCAACCAGATTTCCATCAGCTGCTAACGGGCAAAGTGGAAATTAGTGCTGCCTGAATTGACTTATCTGGCAGCCTTTAAATGGATGCAATTTATTAGATTGAGCGCTTGGGTGATTCCTGAACAACATGAACTTTCACCAAAAGACCAATCAATTTTAATCACTCGAGAGCACCCTGATAATCCCGAAACGAGGTTGAAATGCCAGGAATTACTAATTAGGAGTGCATGGCTGCAGTCATCTGTTGTGTTTTCCTTCACTGGAAATAAACACCTTCTTCATTTTAGCTAAAGCAAATTTGTGTTAACCAATAAACACATTATTAATTATTACTTACTTGAAATAATGAGACAAAGAGAAGTGTTGACATATAAATATGAACTAGTATATGTTTTACCATTTAAATACAAATGAAAAATATATTTATTATAAAAATCAATCATAAATTAACAAATAAAATATTTAAACATATGATTGGAAAGTGATTTGATTTATATTTATTTGCAAACCTCACATGTCTAAATTATCATTTGGCCTTTCTTATACTTCGTAAGCATCTAGGAGTCTTTTAAGCTAATTTCAAAATTTCCATTGCCACCTCAGATATTTAATATATTATTTTTTGTGATGGCGGATCGCGTAAGGGACAATGCAGATGAGGCCGCCGATTTCGAGACGGCGATCGCTGAGTGCGGTTTCGGGCTGTTCAACGTGTTCATCCTGTGCAGCGCGGTGCCCTGCCTCACGGCGATGGTCTTCTCGGCCTCGGCGCTGTCCTACGTGATGCCCTCCGCCGAATGTGACCTCGATCTGAGCATCGTAGACAAGGGCATGCTGCATGCGGTGACCTATGCGGGAATGATCATCTCGGCGGTGCCCTGGGGATTCATAGCAGACACCGTTGGGCGCAGACCGGTCCTCATTTCCGGCGGCTGGCTCGACGGCTTCTTCGTCCTGTGCGCCTCCCTCAGCCAGGATACCGCCCAGCTAATGGCCTTCAAGTTCTTCGACGGCTTTATGTAAGTTAAAAGAACGGTTAAATATTTTCTAAAAAATTTGGAGTTAATAGGTCTTAAGTTATATGACTTTGTTATAAAATTTTAAAATCTATAACTACTTATTTAATTTTCTGAGTGTCCAATCGATAATTATCTAATGAGCATCCACTCCAGTATTAGCGGTCCATTTGCGGTGGTGGTCAGCTACCTGGCCGAGTTCCATGGCAAGAAGCACCGGCCCTATATCATGCTGTTCGTGGGTCTGTGCGTTTCCATCGGATCGATGATTCTACCCCTGCTGGCCTACGTTTTGCTGCCGGTGCCCATCTTCTTCAAGGTGGCCACTTTGGAGTGTAGGTGAGAGTCCTGCCGCGTGTGACCTCAATGCTGAACTCTATTTTCCACCTGCAGTTCGCACGTGGCAGGTCTTCTTGGCGGTTACATCGGTGCCCAGTTTGCTTTGCGGTTTGCTGCATATTTTCCTGCCCGAGAGCCCCAAGTTCCTCATGTCCCAGGGGAATTACAAGAGGGCCCTCGACTCCTTTCAGCGGATCTACAAGCTGAACAAGCGCAAGAGTAGGGAGAGCTATCCAGTAGGTTTCGGCTTTAGATCATAAGATATTCCAATATTTCATAATTTTTGTATTTCCAACAGGTGAAACGTCTCACGGATCCAACGCCTGATCGATCTGCTGATCTTGATGGAACTGGCCGGTCCTCAACAATCAAGGAAAGGTTCAGTCGAGCTAAGAAAAAGTTCCTTGAAGGGGTCTATCAACTGAGGCCCATGTTTTCCAAGCCCTACTTGGCCATTTCTCTGCAGGTATACTGCTTGCACTTTTGCCAGATTATGTGGTGAGTAAAGCTTTTTAAACTAATTAATTATATCAACTATAACTATTTACCAAATTAAGATTCGTATATTATGGAAAAATCCTAAAACTATTTAATACTAAGATGTTGTTTTTCAATATTACTATCTCGAACTTTGTCGTTTGGGAGTCCGAAATTAAGTAGACAATATTTCGTAATGTTTTTGAATCGGATTAAACTTGGGACTCAAAATACATTGTTGCGTTTCGTTTTAAATGATTTCAAAGCTAGATGTCTTTTAGTTTTCTTGGTATCAGTGGATTAATCTAACTAACGTACAATATTTTATTATTTCTTTTTGTTTTTGTATAATCATTTGTATTTATTTTTCAGTGTAAACTCGGTGCGTCTGTGGCTGCCGCAGATCTTCGCCACGATGAACGCGATGGAGTCACTGGGGGCAAATGACACGAGCATGTGCGCCGTTTTGGAACACAATGCGATGGCGGCGGCCATGAACGAGGAGGCCAAGAGGGTGGAGTGCGCTCTAGTAGGTAGGAGATCCCTTTTCATTGGTCTCGGGGTCTAAAGTAATCAACTCCATCGTACAGCACCACGACCCGGGCAGCTACTTGGATAACATCATTGTGGCGGGAATTGGCCTGGTCGGCTTCCTGATTATTTTTCCGCTTATGCGTATTCGAATAGTCTCGAATCACATTCTCAGTGAGTATATTTTAGATAAAGGATGCAAACGAAGCGATCCACTAAAAAAAATAATTGGGGGTTTCTCCAAAAATGTTTTGGGTTCTTTTTTATATCTATAAATTAAGTTATATTATGCTGATATTAAGACCATTGAACTCTCAAAAATTGTCATTTAAACTGAACTCAGATTCCTAGTTTTTTGAAATATTAACTTATGTGAGATCCTCCCAGAGGTTTTCCTATTCATCTGCATTTTCCTGGTGGGAGGCCTGTACTTTGTGAAGACTTCGCTGATGACAATGATCATTTCTGCGATTTACCTGACCCTGATGGGCATTTGTGCCACCACGATTATCGGGACGTCAGTGGTGATATTTCCCACTCTGATGAGGTTTGATTTGTGCCCTATATAAACCCTCTATATTTATTTATGTGGTTCTATACACCAGGACAATGGTTCTGCTGCTAATCATGACTTTTGGGCGTCTCGGCTCGGTGAGTGGCAACCTTCTGCTGCCCATTTTCATGCAACTTAGCTGCCTGGCTCCGTTTCTCTGGCTGTGCTCCCTGATGACCAGTGAGTAGTGCTTCCACAAAAAAGTAAAATAATTATGGAGAATATCACGCTAATATTCCACAGTTGCCTTCCTGTTTTCGGTGTTCCTAAAGGTGGACGATCAGCAGTCGCTGAGTTAACTCAGCGAAGGATTTCTCCTGAATGTTTTTGATAGTCTCACCTGCGATGGCTTCTGGTCGCAATTAATAATCAACGCAATCGACTGTGCGGTTAATTCAACTTAATTACACTTTAATCACTTGCACACACGAAAGCAACCCGGTTCTGATTAATTTCTTTTTGCTTTTTGATTGGGGGGATGGAAAAAATCATTCATACATATGTATCTGATGGTAATTATGTTTTTGCGGTTAGCAATTAATTTGCACATGCGAAACTGACTCGCAATTCGCGCTCCGCTGGCTGTCAAAGTGATTTCACCCAGCGGATGTCTTTTGTCTGGCTAAAAACTTTTCCCCGTATATTTTTCTAACCACACCGCAACCATAAATCAGCACTAAAGTTTGTTGCCTTCGACTGGCGACGGGCAATGGAATCAATGGCATCCCGCCCCGCGATGCACACACGGCGTATGCTTGATTTTGCCATGGGAGAGATGGCAACGAGAGTATCCTATTTCTGGGCACTTTCCTTCTCGACCCGGGAAACTAACCTATTTCCCAGGCTGTCAAAACAAAGTCAAGCGGTAATTGACACATGTTGACTTGGGGCGTTTCCCTCGCCAAATGTTAGTGGTTTGGCTTCTGCTCCCACATCGGAAATTCATATGTCTGCATATTGAGTCATGTCCGCAGTTTGGGCTGCACTTATTTTGGTTCAATTTATTGGTGGTGCCAGACCAAGTCACTTGGGACTTTATTGGAGAGAAATAAGTTCAAACTTATGTTTTCAATATCTACAGATGCATTTAATGCTTAAGCCCGCTTAAGTATGCTATGAAAATATGCACATAATCGGCATAATAGCTTTTGCTATCGAAAGTTTAAACCCAACAGTTTTTGGTTTGCTGTATCTGTTGGAAGCAAATTTGCCTAAAAGCCTGTTTAATGCATAAATGTATTCGCTAAAAACTCTGGGTTTTTAGAGCTCTGCATTCCGTATTCGCGCACTCTATAAAATCCCCGGAACAACAAATGCGCATAAATTTATCATAATAAACATGCATAAATCGCCGTGAATATAAACAGGGAAACCCCCGAAATAGATGTGCAGAAATATGCTTAGGGCGGCCTAATGAGCGGCTGAGTTTTTCGGAGGGGGCGAGGCTAAATGTAAGCTATAAACTAAACGAAACAAGATCGTAAAAAAAGCCAAACATGGAAATGCATATGCGAGTAAGTGTGTGCGTGCCCGGGGCAGAAATGAGGTACAAACATAGTGCCATGCTTGTGTGTGCGTATTTGTATGTGTGAGGGGGAGGAGGAGGATGGCAGGGTGGCTGGATCCGCCTGAATGGGCAGTCATAATCACATGGGGTCGAAAAGGAGGGGTCAGATAGAGCGGCAGACATAAACATTTCCAGACATTAGCAAACACAAAATACGACAAACAAACGCAAACACATACACACACAGTCACAATAGGTCATTTGAACGGTCCTTGAAATGGTCTTTGTTCGGCAAGTGTGTGGGCTGTTCCGCAATGTGTGTGTGGGCGGGGTGTGAACCGTGTCCTCTGCCATCATTTACAGGTCATTCATCATAGCACCACCAAGTCGAAAGTAGAAGTGAAAACGAGATATACATTGTATATCAGGTGGACTGAACAAGAAGCAGTTACAAGGGAATTAAGAAAAGAAAAAGTACAATAAAGTTTGCACAACTAAAATAGCAAATGTGGTAAACTTTGTGTGATTTATTAATAGCCGGCACTCAAGACATTTCACGAAACTAAAAGAGCCATCAGATTTTAAAGCAAGGGCTCTCAAATTTATTTGTTATTAGTTAGTTGCAATTATAAAGAGCAGAAAAGAAAAATTGTCAGTAAATGAAAGTACTTGAAATTATTTTCTTGGATTTAAATAGATCCTCCTTTATGAAATAATTTACTATTTTGCGATTTAAGTAATAATTCCCAGTATTTTGCTGTCATTAATTTACAACACGTATATTCAGTAGAAAAGCGATTTTCAGGAATCGCGAATTCATTGCTATTAATAACTTATGTATATTTCAATAGAAAATATTTTCTGCCAGATTATTTTATTTCTTGGAACTCCAATTGCATTGCTATGAAAATACTTCTGAATTAACGTTTCAGTGAAAATTATTTCTCTGGTACATTTCCATGAATTTATAAAGGACTATTAAAATGCTGACCGAATGTAACATACTTGCTAATCCAACTTATTGGATTACGTCTATTTACGACTGTCAATAATAAAGTGGAATTATTGTGTCTTTAACTGTATTAATTTGTTTCAGTCTAGATTTTAAATTTAAATTTTAAAGATAAACTTAAACTATATAATATTAATATGGTTTTTGAGAGTAAATGCTAGAAATGTATTTTTATTTTATATAAGCCATGTTTATCTTTCTGAAGGAGAACCATCTATTATTCACAATTTTCCATTCAGAGACAATTTCAGACTTGCTATAAAATCTAGCAACATGCTGCCAGCGAAGCAGTAATGTTGCAACAGGTTGTGTTGAGCGATTTGTTGCCAGCTTTTAGGCGAGTTTCCTGCGTTGGTGTGCGTGTTGACTAGCTCCTGGCGAAGGCAGAGGCAGCGACGTCGGCGTTGGCAAAAGCAGCCTGCAGACCTACTGTTTCCATCCATTTTCATGCAAAGCATTCAGTCGGCGGCGGCACTTACAGCGGTAAAGAACGCTCGGTGTATTCGGTCGCCATTTTGGGAAAAAACAGAGTCCTGCCAACTAACGGTTCATTCGTTGCCTGTGTGTGTCCGTTCGTTTGCCTCTGTGTGGGTGTCGTGTTTGCTTTAAGCCTGCCAAAAGCACAATAACCAATAGTGGCCGAAAAAAATAGCCACAAAATGTGAAAAAATCCCTAATGTAAACAACAGATAAAAGGCAACAAAAGGTATGCGGAAATGTGATTTTAAAAATATAATTTAAATCGTGCAACGTTTTAAATATCAATTGCTTTTTTTATGGCCTATGAATTTAAATGGTTTCTGTAAAAAATCACTAACTAGTAAATAAAGCTTCAATTAAAAGTGTCGAGCTGATTACGGTTTTATTAGTTCGTATCCGTGTGGATAAAATGTGAAATGTAATTGAAATCAATTAAGGAAATAAATAAAGTGAAACTGTTTTGATTTGTGCAATATAAATACAATTTAATAATATTTAAATAATTAGTGGATGCTTTATTTACCGGAATTCTTTCAAATAACTTATCCAAAGAAATTATTTTTACCAAAATTTAAGCTTTTAATGAGTTGGCTTAAAAGGATCACATTTTTTACCCTGGAATACACAGTACTCCCTTAACTTTCTGCGGCCAAATGGCGCCAACTGGCCACATGCAGTGTTAAGTGCAACTTGTCCTTGACCGCCAGCAAAATTAAAAGAGTATTGCATGTGGCTGGCAGTTGAAAGAACATAAAAAGAAATATCCCTTGAAAGGACCAGAGACGAGGACCCACAAAAGAGGATCAAGTGAAAGCTCGGTTATTAAGAGTCGGCAGCTTCGGATAAGTCGGACAGCCTCAACGGTTCGGTTTCTATGGCGCTGCGCTATTAAATGTGGCGCAAGTGCAGCGGGATCATTACGCAACGCCCCCCATCCCGATTAAAGGCTGGAAAATGTCGGAAATTGTGGACACCGAGCTGCTGGTCAACTGCACCATCCTCGCCGTCCGGCGATTCGAGCTGAATAGCATTGTCAACACCACGCTCCTCAGCAGCCTGAACAGAACCGAGGTGGTCAGCCTCCTGTCGAGCATCATCGACAACCGGGATAATCTCGAGAGCATCAACGAGGCCAAGTGAGTGCACCTTTTCATTTGACGCTCCCTTTAAGGGGACTCAAGTTCCAAGTAATGGTCCGTCCTTTATTCAGTTTCGCTGAAATTCTCTAGTGCCTGCGCCTGCACAAAGTTATGCAAATTAAACGGTAGCGTTAGTAGCGATTCGCGGAACCCGTTAACTGGCCGCTGATGAGGGCCAACTGATTATTCGCGGCGAGAGCTTAAATTGAATAAAGTTTCCAGGGACTGACAGCTGATAAACGTGTTTGCCGTTCGTCCGGTTTTGTTGGGTCGCTGCACTCAAAATAACAAGGGTCCTAGAGAAAGAGTAAAAAAATGTATTTAAAATTATAAGTTATTAAAAATTATAAATACATTTTTAAACCTTTTTAGGTAATTTAAAAGCAAGCATGAAAAATGTTAAAAATCATGAAATAATATGAATTATATATTATAAGATTTTCTAAGTGTAGTTAAACAAAAATTAACTTTTCTGATTAGTCTAAAATCCGGAGGACCCTAACTTAGAAGGCTAAAGAAAAAGTAAATTTGTTCAGGTTTAATCTGATTATTTTTAAAATAATGCATACCCATGAAACTTGGTCGCGCAGACCATATTAAATGCTTAAAACACGCTAAAAGCATATTTTCACACCAGTTCTTACTGTTGTGGTCCTTGTTGTTATTTATTAATTACGTTCATGCGCTGTGTGAGTAAAAATTTTCATTGACATGCGGTGAAGTGGTTTAATTGTCAATTAAATCATTTTTGTAAACAACGGGTATAAAAAATGTTTTGCAAATGTGTAACTTTGCTTATATACTGGTTATAATTTTGTACGCAGGTACCTAATTAATTACGTAATTATTTATAAGATTTTTTATCTAGTTTAAAATTTTTGGGTTGAAAATAAAATGAAAATCTCTTCTTTGTTTTCGGAGTAAATTAAAAATCCCTTATTTTTAAAAGAATACCCATATATGTTTTTAATTATATGTACTAATCAATTGTACTATTCAGTTTACCAATAATCAGATGTTTAATTGAGTATCATTGTTCCAGCTTAATAAAAACCACATACATTTATTTAAGCATTTACTCAATGAATTCGAATCAGCCAGACAACGAGTCCCGTGTTAATTGATAGGGTGAATGGCTCCTGAAGGAGTTGATAAACCCACATATAATTCCCTGTTAATATATCTTAATCACTGCAATTATTTTCCGTTGGTCAAGAATTTAAGCAGCTTGTGCTATTAATACTCGTGTTTCCATTTGGACCAAAGCTAACCGCAAAGTGAAATTAATGAGTTGCCCGCAAACACGGCTATTGCGTAATAACTCAAAAGTTTGCAGCATAACAGAAGTAATAAAATTAAAACAAGGGGGGCAATCACTCGAAAGGCCAGCCAGTGGATAAATATTCAGTTGGCAATGCCTTAATTTCATCAATGATGGATCTATTTTTGTTTGTGTTTGGTTAATTAAACTCTTAAATTGTTGTTCAACCTCATTCCATTTGCATTTGTTTTTGTGGGATATCCTATGATTTTTCGACGGAAAATTTGGAAAAGGTATTGTTGGTTAGGCTTTGTTTTCCCTTTATGGTCAAATAAGAGTAAAATCTTTAATGAACAACGTTTTGTCGCAAGGAATCTTATATCTTATATAAATTAATTCCTTGTAAAAGGATGACATTTTTATAGTGAAAACCTCTGCACTTATTTCATTTCATCGTTATTTCCGGGAAAAAAGATATTATTATTTTCAAAAGGTTTTTTACGAAGAATTCAGTGCTATCGAAATTCACTTTGATTTAGTTTTGGGTTTCCCGCAGATGTGGGATTTCTTGTTATATATTTAAACTGAATGCTGCATAAATATTTAAAATTCAACATTAAAGCGGTCAAGGTTTTCCCACAGCACTTTGCAGCGAAAAAACGACCATTGTAATTATTCCTTTTCAATCTAGTATACCCAAGTGCCACAATAAGCTGAAGGGACTTTTTTCGAACTCATCCACACACAAGCTCACTAATTGTTTCCTCCCCAACATCCTGTGTTAGGTGACAAACTACGTAAAAAGGGGGAAAAGAGTGAACCGAATAATTAAATTCCGACAAATGCAAAGCTCTCGGCCCAAACTAAATCCTCGAAAAACTTTGACACAAACAAAACGACGTTGCAATTGTTGTTCGATGTTCTATATTTGGGTCCTAAGCCTCGAGGTTTAATGCTCTTTGTGAAAGGGAAAGTAAGTGAAAGTGGAATGGTGCACAGTGAGAAAACAAGGCCATGTTTACCTTGATTAACGCACTAATTGCAAACGACCTTGGGCTTTGGAAAATTCTTAGAGATCAGTAAAAAGTAGTTTAGAAATTATGTTTTATAGATAAAAGTTTACATTTTTCTGGAAAAGGGCTTTAAAAATATTAACAAAATATCTAATTTAATGGATATAAATGCCATCGGACTTACTTGCGCCACAGATAATATTTTCTTGACTCATTGATTACATATTAAAGGCCAATAAAATTGTTCACTCTGTATAACTTTTGTTTGTGGAGGGGCATTTGCTCAGGTGAATTGCCTGCCGCTTGTCTCGAGTTAAGCTCATTATGTTTGCTTCAATCAGGGCAAATGTCTCGGACATTTCCCATGGATTATTGATGGAAAGAACTTGACAGTTTCACCTTCGCCACGCGTCTGGACTTTGCCACACACACTTGAGTGCGTGAGAGCGGCCCACGCGGCGTATACGCAATGTCAAAGTTTATTACGAAACAATGGAATGGTGGCTTTGGCTCGCTTCAGTCGATTTAAAGAGAGCGCATCCTTTCGAATTTGATGTTTATGGCGTTTCGTACGCTTATTGATTTTGATACTTGGCCAATGATAACAGCACAGCACAACAAAGGACACACGACATTAGTCCACATCCTGACGGTTGTAGCTGCTGCTGCTGGTGGGTGTCCATCGGGGCCTTGGCATTTTTATGGCCAGACTCAAATCCAATCAGAATGGATGGCCCACATAAAAACGAGAAGTGTTCATCGATATTGGCGGGCACTGAATTTGGATTGCCCTTGATAAAAATAAGAGTTTTCGGAAACTTATTTAATCTTTTAAATTTGTGAAATTTAAAATAATACATTGCATTCGATTTTTTCTTAAATTTTTTTTTTGTAAAGTACAAACTTAAAATTTGTAGGTATTGTTTAAATTATAGATTTTTATATTTATATTTTTTATATTATATTTTTAGTGTAGTTTAATTTGCACATACTTATTTGTAGGTATTATTTAAATTTTAAATATTTGTGTATTATATTTTTAGTTTAGTTTAATTTGCACATACTTAAACTAAACATTTTTATTTGAATCACAGATTATTTTAAAGATTTTTAAATTCTTAGGGCAGTTTAAACCGCCCTCAAACAAAATCTTTTTAAGGAGTCTAATTTATCTGGCCAAGTCACAAATTGATCCCATATCCAGCTAAACAAGCTAAGGAACCCCTTCGAGACGCCTCGAACTGTAACATTCCGGATGAAAATCGAAAGAAATTGTTTGGATTAGGTCCGGAAAGCAGGAGGAAGCAGAGGCAGACCGAAAGGAAGACTCCTTTGTGCCGCAGTCAGGAGCAGTTTGTTTATGTCTATTCATCGATGGCTAAGCCCCAGCTCAGAGGAAATGACTATGGGGCCTAGGATGGATTTCGCAAAAATAATGCTGGCCATTTCGAGAGGACTGGACGAGCGGAGAACATGGTGCAAGTTGAGTCATTTGCATATGACAAATTTTTCAATTAACTTTTTCTCACCAAACATAAAACAAGTCCCCAGTGCGGAGGCACTGGGTGGGTTGATTCAGCAACAATAATTTTCATAGTACCATGGCCGCCAATGAAACAGATATTCGGACAGAGGCATAAAAATTTAATGGCCACTCCACGGCAAACAACATGGGAAGTTTCATTTACGCATTGTCCTGCCGCCGCCATCGTCATCAACACCCTCGATTGCTCTGTCAAGTGCATGTGTGTGCAGGAAGCAGGCTGCAGGATGCGGGGGCAAGGATTCAGGATTCTGGGACTGTGAATTGAGGGACCATGACCACCTCTGTTCATAAATTCTGAAATTGAAAATGGCCTCATTTGCGGAGCGTGTCGAAAATTCGAGTGCCAGCCCCAAGTAAACGTCGCATTGTTTTTGCCCTGTCAACGATGATGATTCTGGCCGGAGGATGGATGATGGGGGTTTTTTCGGATGGAGGGTGGGAAAGGTGCTTGTGACAGCCACCATTTGTCAGGCATCGATGAGCATCAGACCTAACTTATCTACTGGTTGCGACGCCATCCACATGAGCAAAGGGCCACACTGGGAAAAATGTTGATATTTTAAATCAATTTTACAATTATTATACCCAAGGATAACCCCAAAATAGAAACAACAGAAAACAAATTAAAGTGAAAAATAAGATATTTTTAATTCCCCGAAAATTCTTTAAAAATACCAGACGATTATAATATATCATTATTACATTTTAGCAATGGAAAAACAAGTAATACTTGGTGTATCTTCACTTTATTATACTGGAGTATTTACCTTTTTAGAAAACAAAGTTTCGAAGTAAAACAAGCTACAAGCTATTACAAAATATGAATTTCGAGATATTTACTTTGAAGAAATCCAATTACCAAGCACTTAAAAACCCCCCGAAATCCCCCGCATCATCGCCCCAGTAAATTAGTATCTCGGCAACTTTATGCAGTGGGAGCCTTTAAGTTACGTGACACTTGCAGCTCCGTAACTTTTGCGACTCTTTCGAACTGCCGTTGGCAGCAGAAGTTACCGCCTGAACTATAAACACACGGCGGGCCAACTTGCAACCTGCGTGCGGCATGCTCAATGCGGTCCTTGCAGAGAACTGAGGACCTTGATCTACCCTGGCTTCGACCTCTTGACTGTGCAGCCACCGGAAAAGCAGCCCAAAGGAACCGGAGAACCGAAAAAGCCGAGAACCTGAGAACCTGAGAACCCGAGAACCTGAGGAGCAGGCAACCGGAGAACTCGACAACCGGAGAGGGTACAAATATAGCTAGGGAAATAAAGTAGCCGCAAGACCGCCAATTTGGATTGCATCGCCGGCTCGTCATGCATAAAATATTCACTAGAATATAATAAGGAGCGAGTTGCGAATGCGAAACATGTTAACTGAAGCGGCTCCATGGAAATAGTGCGCACTTTGCAGGTGCCTCAAAGGGGCTAAGAGAACCCCCCGGGGTGGCCAAAAGGGGGTCGTCGACTATTAGCCGAGTTAATGTGGGTAACTCACCTTCTTGAGTGCGACGATAAACTCGTCTGAACGCCAGCTAATGACATGCAATTTGTTTGTACCCCCCGTGTTCTTTGTACAGGAAATTACCGAAGGGCAAACTATAATCGATGATAATTTCTTTAATGTTCCTAATTGACTGGGAACACTCAATTCATAATTCACTTGATTTGGCTGGAAAAAACGATTTCTGATGTCTCAGTTGACCTTTTGAAAAGTTCAAATGGCAAAATATAAAATCTAAACCCATTTTACCTAATAAATTTTGATTTAAATCGCTTCGCACGGGTCAAATACTCCGATTAACATAATTGCTCATTGATTTAATATAATTATCGCAATTTATTAAATTTCGCCCTGCCCCTTAGAGTTTCATAATTTAAACATAAGGCCAAATCGTTTGAGCGGAAGTTTGTGTGCACTTGCATATAGTGAAAGTAAACAACCACAAAATCAATTCAATCAGAAGGAAATCGCAGAGGCAAAAAATATATATTCGGGACATCCGTGGAAAAGCCACTCGACATTCTTTCACTTTAACGAATCAAAGCAGCTGACACTTTTGGGACTTTGCGGGAAATAAAAAAAAAGCAATTCCCTTGCCTGCCAAATTTGCTGGGGAATTCTAGAGGAATTTACAGAATTCTTTTCAGCGAAAATTTGCATACTCAGGGCCAAATATATTACGAAAGCCGAGAAATGCCGAATTTCCTCAGTTATTACTGCCAAATTTTGCGAAGGTCCCCACTGTCATTAGGGGAAATTTTGGTAAATGCCACAGAAAATAATAAGTACGATGTAGAAATGGTCAAACACTTACAAACGGAAGTAATTAGTTCTCTGCTAAAGGCCAAGCACTTCCGTTCATGAATGATGATTATTATAATAACAGGAACAAACTGGAGTTTAGCACGGATTTATAATGGCATCAAACTTAATTAGGCAGCCATAAAGAAAGCGGGGAGAATATGAGAGAAAAGAACAAATTACGTTAATCAAGTTAAATTTGCTTAAATTAGGCTGAAAATGTACACCACCTCCCAAGGGCGGGTCCTGACTTACGCCCCGCCTCCCTTTTGTCCTTCGCCATCCCGGTGCTCTTAAAGTCAGCTGCAATCGCAGGAGGCCATAAATCTGCCGGCAACTTTTGGCCCGTATTTGTTATGAGTGAAAAGTTCCGCAGACAACAGCAATTATCATAATAGGAAAACAGCCAAAAGTTGGGAAGCTCGCAAAAAGTAGGCAACCGAAAAGTTTTCAATTTGAAAGGTGGCCGAGTTCGTTTGTCGCTTTAAAAGGAATTTAAGCAAATATGCAAATGCATATCGAAAATATTCGCAAATATTCTGTCCGCATTTGGCGTGCATTGAGCCAATTAAAATACGTGCATAAATTCCCTTCAATGAAATGAAAATGCTAATTATATTTATATTCCATTTAAACATCGCAGTATTAATAATAACTAAAACATGGCCGTGGCAGTTCAATTAGCACATATTTTATGTAAACATTTTAGCCCCAAATTTCAATAACACATTTTACACTTGGGCATTACAACGCGCCCATTTATTGCTGATTATAGACCATTGTTGCCCCCGTTTTCATGCCTGTGTAATTAATGGAGTTCTTGTTTGCTACTGAAACACGTTAAATATCTAATTAAATGTGAAATCGATAGACCAATCGCAGATAAATAAATGGAATGTAATGCGATATATCTCAGGCCAGTCTGCAAAAACACAAACGAATTGTAGCCGAGTGATTGCAAATTTATGGGCACGTATCTGAACTGGTAATATTAAACCAAAATAATGCGAGACCCCAACAATTATGGAAAGAGCTCTTCAGATTTCAATGTGCACAGGCCGATGGCTGATTATAAATATAACTAAATTTAATATATATTTATTTGAAATTAAATTTAATAATAACTTTATACAATTAAGGTGTTGGAAAGCAAATATATCACTTTTCTCCAATTCACAAGCAATCACAGAAATTCATCAGCAATTGGGTTTCGGCCACTTCACAGTCCAACAGTCTACTGACCGGAATTTGATTTGAAGTTCATTGATTGGAAATAAGAGCATACACATGTGGCAATATGGTCGAAATCAACTGACCAATAGAGCGCAGCGTTTAACAACAGTCGAGAGTAAAATGTGCAAAACAAGAGACATGAATAGATGCAACAATATTTTTGAAATTCGAAAGCTAAACAATTTTTAAAAATTCAGGAGTTAAATGTTTGCCAATGTAATCCTCTCGGTCTTGCGGGGGATTTAATTAAGACCACAGAGAACCGCACACAGAACCCAATTAATTTCGAAGTAATGTGGGCTGTTGGCTAGTCGAATATTTTGTGGCCCGAACAATACCAATCAATCAGGGCATCAATCATGGTTAGATATAAAAGGAAAGTGGGAAATTTGATGCCTGAGAGACAACTGGCAATAGCAATGAAAATGGATGAATGTGAACAATTCGCTTATTGAATTTTCGTTGGAATTGTGTCTGCTGCATTTTGAACAGGGCCAAATAGAAAAGCCGGCGAGGAGGCACGGCTCATTGATATTGCTCATACGCCCCGTGGCACTCAGACAAAAGCGAGCGACTGACTGACTGACTGGCAGCGGAAATCGAGAGAGCATAGTCTGCGGATAAATCCCTGACAATCATCGAACAAGGTTCCTCTAATTAATAGGATTTACCATTCATTCAGCTACGGGCTAATCAAAAGGAAGCTCAGCCACTACGAACCACGAACTACCAATCACCAATCGGAGACAAAGAGACCCCCAGAAATAATTAGCGACATGTTCTCCGCATCATCGAGTCCTGCTGCTGTGATTAGCATAATCCTTGATATGATAATCGGATCCCCAAGTTCCAAGGATCCAAGACCTCCCCGTTTCCGCTGGCCAACGGATGTCAGCCCAATGAAATTACCGCACAATTTTCTGCTAGTTCTCATGCTGCCACTGCCACTGCCTCAATATCGATAAGGATACTTCTTTTGTGGCAAGTTTCCTTTAAGGATTTTTCGCCCAGCTTCAGCTTCATTGATTCCCCATTGTTATTGTTAAGGCGAAGACGCACACGCAGCTCCGAAAAGGTTTGCCAAATCGCAAAGTTTCATCCATTCTGTGATTGAATTTGCCAAATATTGTTTGCCCTGAAGGGTGGCCAAAGAAAAGTACAAAAAGTTGCATTAAAGTCGGTTGTTCTTCAAAGGGATTCCCTCTCTGAAATATGCCTTTAATTTAAGTATATTTATGCCAAAGCCTTAGAGTATTGGGATTCAAATTCAACCTTTCCTTGGGCTTTATTAAAGTTGCACATGGCTTAGCATAATAAATTGGAAAGAATCATTTGACCGATTTACATGGAATACTTTAAGTATTGCCCTGGATTCCTAAAAATAACATTTTATACATTTATACATTTTATACATTTATATATATTTTAAAAAAAAGTATTTATTACAATTTTCTACGTTTAATCTGCTTAGAAATTTTGCAAGGGTGAAGACTTAAATGTACTCTTAAAATGTCCAAAGGTTTTTCCACATAGCCTAATGTTGATTTATTTATGGGATTTAAAGGCACTTGGGTAATTTCTATTTTACACCATCGACATTGTTTCCATTCGATGCTCGAACCAATTTTAGCCACCCGCCTCTGACAGTGCATTTTCGGATATTCTGCAATAAAATTTGTGTCTGCTTGCGATTCGCCCACAGAGACTTTCTAACCGAGTGCCTGTTTCCATCGCCGACACGGCCGTACGAGTTGCCATGGGAGCAGAAAACGATTTGGGCCATCATTTTCGGCCTGATGATGTTTGTGGCCATTGCCGGGAATGGTATTGTTCTCTGGATTGTAACAGGTAAGCTCTCTCGATGGTCCATGCGGAAGAGATGATTTAAAGCAGTTGCCAAAAAAAATCCAAAAAGAGTACCGAGGAAAGCACGTATACGCCGCATTGGCTATAGCTTGTTCTGCACCTCCCGGTTTTTCTAAAATCGAACAATTTCTGTCTTGGCCATCACGTCTCTCCCTTTTTCTCGTTTTTTTTTTTGTTTTTTTATCTCTAATTCTGTTTTTCTTCTTCGCAGGACATCGCAGCATGAGGACGGTCACAAATTACTTCCTGCTGAACCTGAGCATTGCCGACCTGCTGATGTCGTCGCTGAACTGCGTCTTCAACTTTATATTCATGCTGAATTCGGATTGGCCATTCGGTTCGATTTATTGCACAATCAACAATTTCGTGGCCAACGTGACGGTCTCCACTTCGGTCTTCACGCTCGTGGCCATAAGTTTCGATAGGTAAGTCATCCTGCTTCTCCTCCTCCGAGTTTTTCCCCCCAAATTTTCCACCCGCGTCATCTAATCTGTGCGTCGGCACATCCGCTTCCTGCCATCCTGCAGATACATCGCCATTGTGCATCCGCTGAAGCGCCGCACGTCGCGTCGGAAGGTGCGCATCATCCTGGTCCTGATCTGGGCACTCAGCTGTGTCCTGTCGGCTCCCTGTCTGCTCTACTCCAGCATCATGACCAAGCAGTAAGTGGGCAATTGGCCCCAACTCGATTTTATAACTGCAATATCTAAATGGGAACTTAATTGATTTTCATGCTAATGGTAGTTGCTTCATTTTATTCATTGATTTTTAAGTAGATTTAAAACCTTAAAAGGGATTTTAATTTAAAGTTTTAAGCTTTAAAGCTTTAAGTTTAAGTTTTAAAATTACATCCTGCATATAGCACTACCTAACTAAAGATAATATAATAATTAAGAGGGTAACACCTAACATTTTAATAAATGCTAAACGATGGAATTTCCAGGATGTTCCAAGGATCCACACCCAAAGCCCCTCTCCCTTTTGTTTCTATTTAATCTTAACGCGAAACACGAAACACGAAGCGCAAAGCATAAACAAGTTTGTAAGCCAGAGCTTACGAGTTGGCCAGACTCCCTGCGGAGTGGTAGTGGGCCAACTCCCGCAGCTCCTGTATCGATTTGAGAGGCCAAACAAATATAAAATGAAATTCCGTGCACCTTCCCGAAATACTTCCATATTTTTCATGTCTCCCATTTTGTTTTTTTTGTCGGCCATTTTCGGTGTTTCGCTGTTTCGGTGTTGATATAAGCATCCACATCCATCTAAATCACCTCGTCGCCTCTGCTCCGACGCCTTCATTTGAATTTTACGCAAATTCGCAACATTTGGGCGGTGAATTTCTGGCGAACTGGAGCGAACTGGTCGGGTGTCCTGTTTAATAGAATTGAAGCATTTTTTATTTAGACTCTCAACAAAGTGCTAGTAGGGATAAAAGGTCTCCCAGGGTAACAGACTTCCAGGCATAATAAAGATGGCAAGTTCATATATCAAAATGTGATAAAGAATAGCCAAGGCGAGGCACAACGAGAGTCAAAAGATGGCAAATTCTGACAAGGACATATGAAAGGGAGTGAAAGCGGCGTATATAGAGTGGGACGATTTAGAGATGAGTGAGAAAAAATCCAAATTGGATGAACATTTTCGAAGAAACCCCAAGGGAGGTAGACAGTTCGAAGGCTTCAGGCCATATGTACGATGTAAAATAAACCAGGAAAACGCAGATTGGATTAGCCCAGAAATAAAAATAAATGTTACAAGACAGCGGGATTCCTTCCTTCATATTGATATTAAAATACCTGTAAAGACTCTATTTTCGGAATATTTATATGAAAGTAAAAGTGACTGCTATGTTGCACACTTTCCCATGCAAAATAACTTTATTTTAAAGCATCGTTAAATTAGTTCATGATAAAGTTAATATTCGAGCGTGTCAAATCAAATTATGCGGGGCTTAAATCAATTGCTGACCGAATTTCGGAGGGAAAAACAACAATTTTCCATTTGAATCGCACAGATTTGGTTGCACCCTTTTTGCCATCAGGCAGCTAGCCTCATCAACTTTGTTGGTCAAATTATGACCTGTCTGCCAGTTGCCATAGCCGTGTTATTAATGGCAGGAAAAGTGCCGGTAAGCAGAAAGGTGCGGGGTTTTTTGCTTTTCTGGTGGCCCGGGGACAACAGAATAGCCCTTTTAAGTGCTCGACAACGTTGAGGCATGAAATACTTCATAATTTGGCAAATTAAGTTTTCAATTTGATGACGGGCCAAACGTGAAATTTGTCATGCTTGTAAAAGGCAACTTCCATCCTGCCACCATTTCCTTGGTGCCTAAGACCCGTCGAAGCGTGAAACTTGACAGCTTTTTATGTTCGGGGGAACTCTGCTGTGTAATTAAATGATGAAATTTTGATTTATCAGTTTCCGGAATTTAAGTATTTAATTGAATACTGTATTGGGGCCGTATTAACCTATTGAATTGGACCATTTGCAGCTATTACAATGGAAAATCGCGGACAGTTTGCTTCATGATGTGGCCGGATGGACGATATCCCACTTCGATGGCGGACTATGCGTAAGTTTAGGAAAAGAAAATATGGAAAATAAATAAGTTTATCAATTTTTAAAAAATATACATCCATGAAAAATCCAAATATCATTAGAAATATTTTATTATATCCTCCTTTAGGTACAACCTCATCATCCTGGTACTGACCTACGGCATTCCCATGATAGTGATGCTCATCTGCTACTCCCTGATGGGTCGAGTTCTGTGGGGCAGTAGATCGATTGGCGAGAACACGGATCGCCAAATGGAGTCGATGAAGTCGAAGCGGAAGGTAGTGCGCATGTTCATCGCCATTGTGTCCATCTTCGCCATCTGCTGGCTGCCGTACCACCTGTTCTTCATCTACGCCTACCACAACAACCAGGTGGCCTCCACGAAGTACGTGCAGCACATGTATCTCGGTTTCTACTGGCTGGCCATGTCCAATGCGATGGTCAATCCGCTCATCTACTACTGGATGAATAAGAGGTAATTGAAGTGGAAATATGCAGACGAAATGAGAGGGAGGTGGGACTACACAGAAAATACTTTAATATGAGTTGATGATATTTAGAAAATGTAAAAAGCTTCCATTTAAAAAATGCGATATAAATTATATAATTTAGCAACAAAAACATTAAACATAAATACCATAACACATTACAAAATTTTAACTATATGATTTAAGTTAACCAAAATATCTAACTCACTGTTATTCATATGATTCGGTCGCCAAAGTATCATAAATATAATGGGTACATAATAAATAATTTGTCATTAAATGATAGGAAAATACTGATTTTTAAAAAAATTGGATAATTCGATGTATTCAATGCAATTTACTTATTTAAAAACTGGAACCTTAATTTTGTTATCTTTGTAGAAATTAGTCCCACATTGTGTTATCAAATTGCAATATCTTGTCCTATAATTTTACCATAGTTGCTAATATATTCCCTTTCAATCTCACTCCTATTTCAGGTTCCGGATGTACTTCCAGCGCATCATCTGCTGCTGCTGCGTGGGCCTCACCCGCCATCGATTCGACTCGCCGAAGAGCCGGCTGACGAACAAGAACAGCTCGCACCGACACACAAGAGGTGGGTACACCGTCGCCCACTCGCTCCCCAACTCCTCCCCCCAGACCACCCAGACTATTTTGGCCGCCCAGGCCCAGACTCACTTGACCCACCAACACTCATCCACACTCCCCCCGCAACCTTCCGCAGCGGAGACCAAGAGTCAGTGGAAGCGCAGCACGATGGAGACGCAGATCCAGCAGGCGCCGGTCTCCAATTCTTGCCGGGATCCGCGGATGCGCGAGGCAACCGCCCAGCCACAAACGTGCGGCGTAGGTGGACCCAATGCCAATCGGTCGGCCGTCGAGTGCATCATGGAACGGCCGGTGGACGGGACCAGTTCGCCGCTCTGCCTTTCGATCAACAACAGTCTCGGCGAGCGGCAGCGCGTGAAAATCAAATACATCTCCTGTGACGAGGACAATAATCCCGTGGAGCTCAGTCCCAAGCAGCTGTGATGTTGTCCCGATTTGTCGTCCTGCCACTGGAACGGAATTTAGATGGCCGTCGCCTCGTTTCGCTGCGGGGGAAATGCAATTTGCCGCTGCTTACTCTACTCTGTACATAGACCCACTCCCAGAAAAATAAGAAACATGATTGCATAGCAGGGTGGGTCGATCTCGGTGGCGGAAAACGCAACTTTAGACTTTAAGTATTTAGACTAAACAATAATATTTCTAATAATTTAGCATAAAATATAAACAATTTGCAAAGAAAAGGTATTTTGAATATTTTGAATATTTTTTTAAGTACCTAACTATAAATTTATTGCTGCTAGACCATATTTTGATATTACTTTCTTTAGTTTACTTCAATTTTAATTTATTTGCCTACTTGTTTTTATATCTCTTTAAATCCATTTAATGTTTTCGACTACCGTTTTGCGACCCACCCTAATGCAAAGTTGAATTTCCGGTTGTCAAAAGAAAATACTTCAGCAAGAAGAAAAAACTTACCAATAAATTGAATTTGTATGTATTTGTATAGAAGAATCTATCGACACTTTAACCATCGAAGAGCTGTAAGTTTTAACTGTTGTAAACATCTAGGCTAAGCCAAGTTTGTAAATACATTTCGTGTATACCCGATAAATATGTATATCTGCGTATATATTTGTGCTAGTCCTTTGAGTGAATCGGTTAAACGAGCAATGGAATTTCTCACTCTAAGCTGTTATGAGCTCATTTAATTAATAGAAGAACAATTCGTGTTATTGGTTTTGGTTCTGTCCATGCCATCTGTAAATATATGTCAAAATCTTTGTGAATGGCAAGTCAACAAGGTCTTAAGTTGATTTGAATAAACTTTATCTGAGAAAATGTGTGGTTGCTATTGTGGTTAGTGAGCAGAATTAAAGTGTATAATTGTTGTCCTCAAGGCTTTGACCTCAAGGGTTAGGGCTAGGCAAATATTTTAACTGAAAATTGGAAGCGAGAATTAGGCAGGGATTAATTTGCTTGAATAAATACCATTTTGCTGCTAATATCATTAGACCAATCCCAAAGGGGAATTTGCATGCCATTATGCTCGCAGTCGCATTATTTATGCACAGCTTAGAGTCCAAATTTCATTCAACCCAGTTTGGCCATGCACGAATTCATACTAATGTGGGTGTAGTTATTACTCAAACAGGGCCAAAGGCTGGGTGGCGATGGATGAAAGGTCCCTTAATGCAAATTCGTAAAAAGCGAATCCTTTCAAATGCTCTCAAATCATATCTTCTTGAGTCCTTTACCCCGCGTCCTGCCAGCCAGCTTCCTTTCAATAGTTCAATTTTAAAGGATTTCGCCTTTATTCAAGCCAATGGCAAACAGACGCTGGACTTCAAGGCGAATCAGATACTCGCATAATGGTAAGCGATTACGGAATGTAATTGAAATGCGAACCGAAAGCGTAACCAAAACCGAAAACGAAACCTAACCCCATCAGAACGCACTTGGGAAACATTCAACTATCTAATTGAATCACAAACAGTTTCAGTGAACCACATTCGGGGGATATAACAGAAGCCCCAACCGAAACCGAGACCAAATCCCCCACTCAAACCAAAAACCAAAGAACTAACATACAAAGCGCTACATTTTTATTGCCCCTATTTTTTTGGCATTTTGGCAGAGGAAAAAGTCGCGCTAATGCGTTAAATTGCTTGTTGCACAGAACTCGAAATGAAATCGATGGACGGCGTTTTTATTCGAGGTAATAGGATTTGATGGGTTCGCAGCTCCATCCGCAGAATAACAATTTGCATAATAAGTCGATGTTTGTTACGCAGTTACCCCGCTTGTCAGCCTCCCTTTTCATTGTCATGGCAGCCGCAAAAGGCAGAAAAAAGCCTTTAAGAAATGAAAAGGCGAACCGAGAGTAAGTTGAAAAGATTCTATTACCATCTAAGATGTGTGCATATGGTGCGGCATTGCCCCGGCAACAGACTGAGGTTGAATCCTGGGGTCACACCGCAAATTGCCGAAGCATGGTTAGAGTGGTCTGGCGTCGAATTAGGCCCCTCGATCTGTAAGTATCATATCGAATTAAATGGCTTATCAATTTTCATGCGTGCTTGAGTTAAACGACATACTATTATTGGCCTAATAAAGTGGTGTGGGTATGGGTTGGCCCATGGCCCGCAAAGGTAAGAGGTCAATTGCATTACCAAAATTAAAGCAACATCCCGTAAATCCAACTGTCACGGTCATGTTTCTGTCAGACCGTGCGTTTATTTTTTCGTTCCTCCTCCACCACGAAGGATTCACTTTTTATTTATTTATTCCTGGACACGAAAATGTTTTTATTTTATTGCCAACTTTAGAGGGTAGGAGTAATAATGGAAAGGTACTATATTTAGCATTTGCTGTAGAACTTTGTGTAATTAAACTTTTTCTTTGTTCTATTATATTTTTGTTTGACCTGTGGGGAATTTTCGAATCCTGTGTTTTTGTTGATAAATAATGATAAATTTTCATTGATATATAAAATCCTCATTAAGAATAATAACAACTTGATGAACATTAATTTAAATTTATTTAGCATGAAAGCTGTATTTAACAGATTAATTATATAGTTTAACCTTTATTAATCACCCTTATTTTAGAAGGAAGTCAAGCTAGTCAGGTGCTATTTATCAATCCATTTTCTAACGTCTCCGAGCGAACACTCAGTGAACACACACAAGGAAACGACTTGTTTTCCAGACGCCAGCATCGGAAATTTCCACAGACACTGAAAAGTTAAGCCCAGAAAGCAAAAATTCGAAAATGATTGGAGTGCGGGGAACTTTCAAGGTTTTGGCGGCCATATCGGGAATGCTGTTCATGGGCTATTGCGTGTATTTCGACAAGAAGCGTCGCAGTGATCCGGAGTTCAAGAGGAAGTTGCACGAGAGGCGCCACCAACGGGCCCTCCCAGTCATGGGATTGGGATCCTCGGGATCTTCGGCTAGCGTGAGCGACAAGGACATCGAGATGTACTTCATGACCCAGATCCACAAGGGCGAAGGACTGATCACGAATGGCGACATTGAGGGCGGCGTGGACCACCTCATCAACGCGATCCTTGTCTGCACCCAGCCGGGAAAACTGCTGCAGGTCCTTCAGAACACTCTGCCCGTGGAGATCTTCACCATGATGCTGATCAAGATGCATGCTTATGAGTCCGCCGAACGCAGTTCCCCGATCGTCGTGGATGAGGAAGGTGTCAGTGCCCTTGAATAGGCCACTTGGCCACAAAAATTAAGGGTCTCTGGTGTTTTTTTCTGCCCCGCCAAGGGAAAACTTTTCTCTGACGGCAGTCTCGAGTGGCAGAGTACATTCATTTGGTTCACGTATCTCGGGCAAATACATACAATGTATACTGGTATTTGGTACTTTGGGTTTTATTCGTTGCCACGGCCAACAACTTGGCCAACAAAATTTTCGGCGGAACTTTTTGCAGCCATCAGCCAAGTTGGCAAATTAATGACTTCGATTATAATGTCGGGCGTGTAATTACCCAATGCCATGTTATCTGATTTTCAAGTGGTGGTAAGAGCAATTGCTTAGCTCGACTAAGCTATTTTAAAGCTGCAGTCAAGGTTTTCTGTTTTTGCCCTGAGAGCTTGGTAGCCATGACAACAGATATAGATGTACAACAAGTAAACACATCACGAAAATGTGAAACAAATTTGTTTGACAATTTGTGTGTGAATAACAATCGACAATTCAACCAACAAAAAATAGAAATGCTAAATGCATGTAAACAAACAAATACGTATTTTTATTTGACTTATGTGCGTGCAGATTTCTGGGAAAACTAATTGACAAATGAACTAAAAAGATAGGATCTCCTTGATTGACTTAACACATATCCTGATTATTGTCTAAACTTTAACCTTACCATTCAGGCCATTCTGCTGGTCATGAAATCTCAATTTTCTCGCCCATTCCGGCTTGAACAATCATCAGGCCTAACAATTAAATTCTCAGCACGGATTTCAACCGTTCTGCCGAGATTACCATGACAATTGAGTTCTACGAGTATCTGCATGTCTGCTGTCGATTGCTCAGGGTTGACTACACACTGTTCGCTAACAAAATGTCCGACAGACTATTTCCGGTTATGCGGCATTTACGCTTGCATGTGTGCGTGTGTTGGCCTACAATGACAGGCAAATAAACTGGACTCCGGGGAATGTCCTTCGCTGCTCTGCGGCTTGTGTGCATAATTTGCCAGGACCAACCCATTCAGTAGCTGCGACCCACGTTCACGGAAATTTGTCATCCGGATGCGTTTGATTGATGGTCTCGTGGTCTCATCAATTGGCCAACCGACCGAGAAACTCCGCCGCCAGCTCTGCTCGCTTTAAGCTGCCCTCTCGGCCATTAGAGACATCTTGTTTGGGGCATTAGGCCCCAGAGAAATCTCGGGGCGAAAGTTTAACAAAGAAAGACCAAAGCTGTCACTCATCTGGATATAAATTTAAGTTCTGGCAAACCCTTCTCTAATACACAGTGGAATTTAAGATTTTTTTAAAAGCAATCGTTAAATATTAAATTAAAATTTAAAAATCCTTGATAAAAAGATGTACTTTGATAAAATTAAATAAATTTCACTCTCATTGCATAATAAATTGTGATTTAAATTCTATAAACAAACGTATTATAAAAGTATATTTTGCGAAAAGTGTAAAAAACACTTAATATTCCTTTGTGTGTTCAACCTTGTCTGAAGACCGTATGACTCTCGACCAAATGTTAAACAAAGTTCGTTCATCTGCTTGTAAATTCTAGTTGCCAGTAACCCTTCTCTAACGCTTTTATTGTGTGTCTAAGACTTAAATGGACACTGGACCATCTGAAGGGAAAACAATCTTTTAACGCCCCTTTGTCAGCAATTAATGAGTGGAAAGTTCAACTGATTCCCATCCGATTCAAGTTCCCCCGCGAATGTAATTACGTAAGGACCTTTTGCGGTGCTCTCCGCTGCTTCCACCCATTGTCCAGTAATTACCAGATAAAATAGACAGTCGGACGGACGGGGAGTTGCAGCTTTGTTGCCCCGGCACTAATTTCCAGGCTAAGCATCAGGCTAAAATGATTTTCGCTTTGAAGCAGTCTGGCTTCAAAGATTTTCGCCCAAGGAGCGTCGGCTAATTTAATGAAATATCCTGGAAGAATACCGAGCAAAAATGTCTGGACCGAGAACCGTGCTCAGCTCAATTATTCCATCTCATTTGGAATATTGGCAAATTAATAGAAGGTAATTGACCTTTAGTTAGTGGCACTCGAAGCATTCCGCTAAAAGAGATCAATATTAATCTTTCTCGCAAATGTCAAACGGTTCTTGGAACAATTCTTGTAAGAGAGAAATCAATTAACCTAATTGATTTGATTTTTTCTTTTGAATTCCCAATTCATTTTATATGGCCTCGTGTTGTAATACATATGTGTTTATGGGTTCTTTCGTTGACAGCTGTTTGCCTTTAGAATTCGATGGGATGGCCATTACCATAAAGATATTAATTAGGCTCACGAGCAGCAAAACAGGCTAACACAGAGAGAAGTTTTTTCGTTGAATCTAGAAACACTACAAAATGAGATTTCCATTTTTTTTTTAATTTTAGCTTTAGAATTGCGAATTAGCTTTAGAATTTAGAATTAAACAATCAAATGTACTAAAAAACAAATATATTAAGGTGTTTTCAAGAAGTTTTAATGAAATAAATAAATTTCCAAAAATGAATTTTAACTTTAAATAAATAAATTTAAAGAAAAAATAAGTTTCTTTAAAATTTTTTACAAAAAAGTATTTTTTTCTTTTGATATTGATTATATTTTTAACGCAGTTTGTGTAAAATTTTTTCCAGTATTTTGCGGGCATTCCATCTAACTGGGTTGCTGCGGAAAAGTAGTTAGGTCTAAATGGAAATCGAGACAGCCATGGGAACGGGCTTCGATGTGCGAGTAGTGTTCGTCTGGGATGTGAGCAACATCAAACAGACTAATTGGTCGGGGCAGCCACAAAAGCCAGGAGTTGTGGCACGGGAGATTAATGCCGGGGAAGTGTCATTATCGCCGATGCCTAATTATGCCATGGCGTGCAAATGTCATTAATATCTTTCCAGATATGTGGAGTGGCTCAACAGTTGCCACTGGCATGACATGAATTTCGAAACCAGCAGTCTCAGCAATTCAATTTCTTGAATGACTTTAACATAGTTTGTACCGACAGAGTTTACCCCTTCTGTTTCCTTTTTTTTCGGTGTTTTCTCATACCTTACGCTTGAATAAACAGAAATTCCCCATAAGCCGTATCAGGCCAGAAAGACAATAGAGGGAAAGGGGTAACAAAAAACGAACACCCACTTCATAAACCATTTGGCAACGCACGTAAGTTACACAAACCCACATTGGCACTCACACAGAAGCCGCTGGCCCTACCTATACAAGCAAACACTTGGTCACACGCACGGAGACTTTCATTTCCTGTCAGCGGAAGTGGTTGTTGCGTCTATCTCTGCATGTCTGAGTGTGTGTGTGTGTGTGCGTCAAGTTTTATATCATCTCTTGGCACTTTTTTCGCACGTTCTACAATTTTTACCCTCAGCTGTTTTGAATTTCATTTTTATGTTTGCTTTCCTTTCGCAAGCATAGGGACAAACAACAATATGCATATATGTTGTAAATAAGTGTAAGTTCAGTACACCCCGAATGCATTACGTATACGCCATGTGTAACCGTCGTTGTTTGCGTGAAGGTTTTGGGCAAACAATGGGAACATGAGCTCCTCGGCAATCAAGAGAGATTCTCCAACACGTTTTTGAAGCGATGCAAAGAGCCGGTATGTGCATATTGATAGTTTCACAGCTTTCACTTGGCGAAAGAGATTATTGCGAGCTCTTCCGCAGCTGAAGGTACTGAAAGTACTGAAAGCACTGAAAGTAGAGCATACAAGGACTTACTTCACAAAACAGATTGAAAGTCGAGTATTTTCCCTGCAGCAGCTTGCCAAGCACAATGTTCAATCGCATTCAGAGGACTGGAATTTGTTAAATCCAAAACCGATTGCTTGGCAAAACTGTTGTCAGTACATGGAGAGATAACTTACGGAAATCCCTTCAAAATGGCTTCAATATAAAATATTGAACCCGTTTAACTTATATCCTTTATAGAAACTACCTTCCAGTCAAGTTCCTTTCACCCGACATAAAAGCTAAAATAACATTGGTATTTGTTTGGGCTTATACCATTTAAAGACCCTCAAAGTCGACACAAGAGCGGTTGGAATTTATTTTATGACCTCTTTATACCTGGGATAGGAAAGTGCATATGGATGGCATCCTAGAATTTCAACTGGGGCCTTGTGGAGTCAAAACTCGTCCATAACAGGCTCGCATCATTGTTAAGTGGAATTAGAGGAAGGACTATTTTATTGCAGCAATTTCCACTAAGCCAAAGCCAACAGCAGGAATATATATAAATCCTGCCGGCAGAAGGCATAAGGCAGCAGGCAGCACCGCAGCAGATATATTGTTTGGGCCAAAGTCTGGCAAGTTTCCTAAAAAGGAAATGCACTGGCTGGCTTTACTTCCTTCATTTTGTAACTTTTATAAGTATGTTTATGGTGTGGGCGGGGTAGAGTGTTTTCTTTTTTTCATGTGGGAGCCACCCAGATGGCGCAGGAATAGTGGTCGTACACGCTAGTCCTGCCATCACATTGCATTCTGTTTGCACAGTCGCCCAGGAACCACTTTCCATGAAAGTTCCTCCTTGTAAGCCCCCAGCCCCCATATCCTGGGAATGTCGTCAAAGGATTTGCGTCAAACACACACACGCACGCACAGCAACAGCTGGAAAAGCAATTTTTACTTAGTGTGGGCCACCATCCTTCGATTCCGGAAAGTCAAAAAGTAATTCACAGGCTTCACGCTGCTGCCGAAAGGCAGAATTCGCCAGCGGAACTCCCTAATTGAGGCCGGCCAATCTAAATAGGTCCTTTGACTGGCCGGGCTTCCTGTCCACTTCCACTATCGACTTTGCAGACGACGTGCCGGGAAATGATGGTGCACCTGAGGCCGGACACCACAACGACAATTGGAGTTTCACGAAGATTAATGGCGGTCATCCCTTAGACCCCCTTGCACCAAAAGAAAAATGTATTTAAAACAACTTAAAATGTTCTTAATAAAATATTATTTACACGCTCTTTAAAGTTCAACTAAATCGCTTTAATTTAAATACTTATAACATAACAATCAAAGGTCAATCATTTACGGTGGGATTAAAAATAATCAAATTACAGCATTATTGTATTGTAGGTATCCAACTTGACACAGAAGTTGTTTTTTTCCGAGTGTATCCATTGCCTGAGGACATTTTTCC